ACAGCCTTAATACTGTTTTATTAATGAGATATGTCTCGAATCAAATCAAACTGAGTGATGTTATGAAACAACTTAACAATATCAATCTTCTGTTCTCCTAAATAATCCAACCCCGGGTCATTATAGGGCACACAAAATGTATTACAAAATTTGGAGCATAGATTAACGGTGTTGGCACCAAGATTAGTGGCGATCGTTCTTGTGAGACTCATACAGCCTTTATACTGTTTTATTAATGAGATATATCTCGAATCAAATCAAACTGAATGATGTTATGAAACAACAATATCAATCTTCCATTCTCCTAAAGAATCCAACCCTGCATGGGTCTTTAGCATATGGGGCACAAAAAAGGTAGTACTAAATTTGGAGCATAGATTAACGGTGTTGGCACCAAGATTAGTGGCGATCGTTCGTGTGAGACTCATACAGCCTTTATACTGTTTTATTAATGAGATAGATCTCGAATCAAATCAAACTGAGTGATGTTATGAAACATCTTAACAATATCAATCTTCCATTCTCCTAAATAATCCAACCCCGGGTCTTTATAGGGCACACAACATGTATTACTAAATTTGGAGCATGGTTTAACGGTGTTGGCACCAAGATTAGTGGCGATGGTTCGTCCGAGACTCATACAGCCTTAATACTGTTTTATTAATGAGATATGTCTCGAATCAAATCAAACTGAGTGATGTTATGAAACAACTTAACAATATCAATCTTCTGTTCTCCTAAATAATCCAACCCCGGGTCATTATAGGGCACACAAAATGTATTACAAAATTTGGAGCATAGATTAACGGTGTTGGCACCAAGATTAGTGGCGATCGTTCTTGTGAGACTCATACAGCCTTTATACTGTTTTATTAATGAGATATATCTCGAATCAAATCAAACTGAATGATGTTATGAAACAACAATATCAATCTTCCATTCTCCTAAAGAATCCAACCCTGCATGGGTCTTTAGCATATGGGGCACAAAAAAGGTAGTACTAAATTTGGAGCATAGATTAACGGTGTTGGCACCAAGATTAGTGGCGATCGTTCTTGGAGACTCATAGAGCCTTTATACTGTCTTATTAATGAAATATATCTCGAATCAAATCAAACTGAGAGATGTTATGAAACAACTTAACAATATCAATCTTCTGTTCTCCTAAATAATCCAACCCCGCCGGGTCATTATAAGGCACACAAAATGTATGACTAAATTTGGAGCATAGATCAACGGTGTTGGCACCAAGATTAGTGGCGATGGTTCGTCCGAGACTCATACAGCCTTTATACCGTTTTATTAATGAGATATATCTCGAATCAAATCAAACTGAGTGATGTTATGAAACAACTTAACAATATCAATCTTCTGTTCTCCTAAATAATCCAACCCCGGGTCATTATAGGGCACACAAAATGTATTACTAAATTTGGAGCATAGATTAACGGTGTTGGCACCAAGATTAGTGGCGATCGTTCGTGTGAGACTCATATAGAGCCTTTATACTGTTTTATTAATGAGATATATCTCGAATCAAATGAAACTGAATGATGTTATGAAACAACAATATCAATCTTCCATTCTCCTAAAGAATCCAACCCTGCATTGGTCTTTAGCATAATTATAGGGCACAAAAAAGGTAGTACTAAATTTGGAGCATAGTTTAACGGTGTTGGCACCAAGATTAGTGGCGATCGTTCTTGGAGACACATAGAGCCTTTATACTGTTTTATTAATGAAATATATCTCGAATCAAATCAAACTGAGTGATGTTATGAAACAACTTAACAATATCAATCTTCTGTTCTCCTAAATAATCCAACCCCGGGTCATTATAGGGCACACAAAATGTATTACTAAATTTGGAGCATAGTTTAACGGTGTTGGCACCAAGATTAGTGGCGATATGGTTCGTTCGAGACTCATACAGCCTATACTGTTTTATTAATGAGATATATCTCGAATCAAATCACACTGAGTGATGTTATTTAACAACTAAACAATAGGCCTACTAAATGTCCATTATCCTAAATAAACTATCATTACAAAACTAGCTATAGATTAGGGAGTGTATAGCCGCTCCGAGGAACGTTTGCTATTTTCAATTCCCTGCTTGTACTTGGCTTCACGGAGTAATTCGTCCTTTATAATGATTCTCTTCATTCCGGAGCAATGTACATGACCTAATGCTTCATGTACTGAATACATGTGTATATGACAGAGTACGCACGCCGCACGTCTGTGACGTAGGGAATAATGAATATTCATATCGCCGTTAATCTTGGTGCCAATATATGCTACCTTCTCTGTCCTACCCACCGAGGACAACTACCCCCTGAGGCCAACTACCTACGAGGACAATTACTCCCCAAGGACAATCACCCCCGAGGAATTAGCACGATCTGACGTATACTGCAAGCTTCTCTCCAAATTGCTATTTACAGAAATGTCAGTAACTTTCATTTTCTCAGTTATTCTTAAAGTTCTTTTTAGTCTTGTCCAAATTATTCAATTCGATGTGGGGGGGGGGGGGGTGAAGGTTCCACATTTTTCCCGTAGTTTTGCCACCGAGTAAAGTACAGACATTTAACAATACATTGCGCGCAGATGAGTACGCGTTCCAGCCTGTCTCCCCAACAATTAAATTAGGATGTAAGATTTAATTTATGCATCCTCTGTAACTTATCTAATCAGCTGATCGTGCATTTGTCTTTGTATGTATAATGGGCCCTCATCCATTATCCAAAATTAAGGTTTTCTTCAAGTTGTTTATATATATTTTTGTTGTCATGCTGCATTTCTCTCTTCTCTTTCTTTATTTCTCTCCCTCTCTCTCTCTCTCTCTTTCTATCTTTATCATTCCTCTCTCCCTCTTTCCGTATCCCTCTCACTTGTTATTCTCTTTCTGTCCGGCACTCTCTGTCCGTCTCTCTCTTTCTTTCTCTCACACACACACACCTCACTCTCTCATCCCATTCTTCTTTATTTTGCTCCAACTTTTTCTCTCTTCTCTTTCCTTATATATATATATATATATATATATTTCTTTCTTTCTCTCCCTTTCTCCGCTCTCTGTCTCTCTCATCCACTCCCTCTATCTTTCTCTCTCGTTCTTTATCTCTCTCTTTCTCTCTATCTCTTTCATGAACTGTTTAAGACTACATTTAAAACACGCATATTTCCAACGTTAAGTTTTCCTAAAAGAAGACATGCATGACAGTGCAAATATAATTCTGGCATACAGCTCATTTATTCATTCCAAGATGCAAAACTGGGAAATTTTAATGACATAATTATCATCAGACATCATCATCATAATACATGTATCTGGAAAAAGGCAACTCATTGATTATTGTATAACCCCAAGCAGCCTCCGGTAACATCAAGAAGTGGAAGAAAATTTCATTATTTTCTCAAGAGTAACAAAAATAGCTATTGCAGCAACATCATCTTCTCTCTGTGACGACAAGAAATAAAACAGAAGAAAAATAGAGATAAACATACAATACTGTTTGATAGTAATTTCTTTGATTAAAACTTGAGACAAGTTATCTATATACTCATACTGTATAATCTAAATATTACTATCTACAAAGAGTGGTATTGGAGTAAGTATATAACGTGTTTATGGACTTATTCCTAAATCTCAGATTAGATCTCAAATTAGTATTTCAATCGATACTGCAGGCAAAAATTGAAAAGTTGAAAATGGAATGAGTGGGATGAAAATCTGACTGTTTTACTCATTTTAATTCACTGCACGTACAAGTCAAATACAGGGCTTAGTAAATTGAATATAACAGAAATACATTCAACAAAGTTTCCCAATGTTCCCCTTTGGAACAAATATACCTCAGGAAATCCTTATCAAGAACTTCCTGATTTCACCTCATCAAACCGAGTATGAAGTTTTCATGCCTAATACGCTTTAAAGCAAAATCATATTTACCACTGACAAAAGGTACTCTTTCCATCTCTTTTTCTGACCTTTGCTTTGTCAGTTTTCATATAACACTCTGCGACTTTTATTTAGTCAAGTACTCATACAACTGTCATAAAAAATAGTAAGATATCATGCAATTCATTCCACAATATTGAACAAACTTAACACAGAAATGTTACACTGGGTGGCATGTTCCTTGAAAGGCAAATACATATAATCCTTGACATAAGACAAGAACAAGAGAAAAAATACAAACTTGGGAGTTAGTTTAGAAAGTATAGGATACCCAGTGAGTTTAATACACATCTCAGAGAGACACTTAACACGTTTCTACTGGACTTCATATGCAGTTACTTTCTGTTAATTTCTGGAGATTCCAGGTAGAGGCTTCTGTATAAACAAATTTCCAGTGGAAACATGCCGATTGTCACTATTTTTGGGATTCTCCCAGTCAAATGTTATTGCTTAACAATAGTCAAATGCAATCTTTTTTTTTTTGTCCTCTGCATTTCTTTTGTAGCCGAAAAAAATAAAGCAATGTTAGAAATTCCAAAATTGATCATGAAACACATTGCCTAGTTATTGCAACATTGCTAAAAGTTTAGGATTTTAAATAAAATATCTTGCACTTATAATATGGAGATGTTCTTGTGGAAAAGATGTTTGACCACAGCAAGTGTATTCTTGAGGTTATTTGTGTATTTAGAAAGCTGAGTACAATAAAAATGTAAGGGGTTGTTTCCTATTCCATGAATTATCTAGTGAAAGGGAATTACTCAAAAGCCTTGCTTGTGTATGATAGGTGAAGTCAGCCCCCTCCCCTTTTTTCAAACACAGAGGAGATATCTATAGTGCAAAGAGCATGGATGAAAAAGGGAGAGATCTTGTTGTCATGCTCCATACAATGATAAGAGAATACTTTATGTAGCCTGCAAGGGTTATGATACAGAACCAATACAAATTAGAGTGAGGAAGAGAGAGAGAGAGACGGAAGGTGAAAAAATACTTGAAAAAAAACACAGTAATTCCACTCCAGGTGTGGTGATATTCGCTCCTATATCTGGTAGGCTTTCCTTAGCTTCTTGAGATCCTCTTCCTTGCATACCTCTGGCTTTGATGAGATCATGTTCATGCATCTTTGCATGTCTGGGGTGGTGAAAGAAAATAAAAGAAAAATAGAGATAATAATAATAATATTCAGCTTTTATATAGCGCTTAACACATCTCAAAACGCTTTACAGATATATTATTACCCCGGTCAGTGGATTCAGTGCTTGCCCTCGCACACTGTGTGCACAATCTCCACTTCTGGGAAGCATTCCAGCCAGGCGTTACTTGACGCTCAAGAACCGTGTGACCAACAATGACGGTCGCATCCTACCGGGTACCCATTTTAACACCTGGGTGGAGCGTAGCAAGAGTAAGTTAATATCTTGCCAAAGGATATTAGTGCCGTGTCCTGATTCGAACCCTCAACCTTCGCATCTCCAGTCAAGCGCCTTAAGCCACTCGAGTCGACCACGACACTCCCATGGTTTACCTACCGTACAAATCTTTTAGAAGTTACTGTGTCAAACCTCCATGGATAAGATCTAAATCTATTTGGCATTGGAATAAATTTGAATTTCATTGCAAGGACCACTGCTAATGCAATATTCAACTCAGTAGACCAGTTCCTACTTTAATTAGTACATGGTACAAATGACCCAAATATCCACACATCCTTCAAACATTCAGAAGTCCCACTTTGTGCATTTTAGAATATTCACTGAAAAAGTCATGGATGTGCTTCATGTATACATTTGGTTTGCCCTCTTGAGAAGAATATTTCCATCTTTTGTCCATCGAATGTACAGTAGGTGCATAACTGAATTATGATGACACAACTTTTATGAGCATGTATCCAGTATTTTTCTCAGTTTTGCAATTTTGGTACAAAATGACCTTTATCTGCTCATGCACAGATTGTATCTATAAACTGGCTTATTGAAAGTAACCTGTGATAGATTATGAGAGAGAATAAAAGAGAAAAGGGGATATTCATGTCCAGCCACCTTGGAAATACAAAGTGATGAGAACTTTCACGAATCAACAGCCAAATTTCTTTCTTCCAACGGTAAGAAGCCTTACATTGGCAATAAGGATTTGTGGCACTTCTCTGTTGACAGTTAGCTGTTATTATGATTTTTTTCTGATTTTACCATTAGTAAAAGAATGAGAAAGGGATGAAAAGTCAGGAGGCAAAAGCGATAGATAGATGGGGAGGGCAAGAGAGAGAGAACGAGAATGTCTCATGAACTTGCTTTCTTGGAAAAGAGAGAGGGGGAAGGGGGAGACACAGAGAGAGAAGGAAAGAGAGAAGGATAGAGAGAAGGGGAGAGAGAGGAGAGAGAGAGAGAAGGAGAGAAAGAGAGAGAGAGAGAGAGAGAGCGAGAAAGGGAGAGTTGGGGGAGAGGAGTGTTTCTTACTGTCTTTATCCATTTTGGTGAGGAACATGGCGATGGTCTTGAAGCGATCTACACATCGTAGCTTGTTGAGGAGCTGGTACGTGAAGGCAGGGTCTTCTTCCACTAGGTGGTTGGCAGACGCACTCAAGATCTTGGTCAACATCTCTCCATCAAGCTTGTTGCTCAGAACTAGAAGGGACAGTTACAAAACAAAGCAATTTTATTTGTTAAAGGTACTATGTCCCATTTGCAGGCCCGAAAAATGAAAAGGTTAAATTCCAACGGCATTTGAAAGATGATACTAATTTAGAACTTCCCTAAAAAAAGGGGGGCTTGAAAATGTCTGTAAGTGATTTTCAGACGACTGTACCGAATGGTTGTATGTTTTATGCTGCGCAAAATATTCAATCAGTTTAATTTTGGCCATTATTAATACAAGAAGTGGGTTATTGACGTAGACAAATGCTCATGTATCCTTTACAGCTCATTGTATGAACACTGTATGTTATTACCAAAGAAGAAAAAAAGAGAGTCAGTCACTCAATAGTGTCTGACGGCATTGAAGTCTAGCAAGTAAATAAGTTTTCTTGCATAATTGGAATATTAGGACACTGCTAACGTTTAAATTTCACAGATAGGACATACATGACATATTCATAATTCCTGCAAATTTCTACAGAATTTGATGTTGGCTGCAAAAGGGACATAATATATTTAAAGGGATAGTTGAGTTTTGTTGCAGAGGGGGTTTGTGAGATAATGAAAAACCACGTGTCAAATTTGAAAGAAATACAATTTAACCCGTTCAGCTCGGCATTATTCAGCCTGATAGCCACCTCACAAACGAGATTAAAAATCGAACACGCCGTACCGTGAGACCGCTCAGCGCGCGCCACAATGCGTGTGCGTTCAAGCGGCCAGAGGCTTCGACTAACGGGAACCTAGCGCATGCGCAGATCATTTGCCAATCTGGCTTTGTCATGTCGAGAACACGTTGAACGGCCGTTCTCTGCTGTCCAAGCCTCTCAGTTCTTTCAGCTCTTTCGTAGGGTTTTCTTCTTCGTTATCTTTTCTTCTTCTTCTTCGCCTCATTCTTATTTGTTCTTCTTCTTTCGCTTTTTATTTAGATACTCAATTTTATGAGAAAAATACACAATTTATAAGAAATTAAAGATTTGAATGTAAATCTCTGTTGCATCATATTCATATGAAATAATTACCAGCCTAAATTGACGGTTATAATATTATTTTGTCGGACATTATACTATAGCGAAAAGATATAGACATGATAAAATGAAACTAAAGAAGAATCCAGAATGGGGGAGGGTTGGGGTGAAAGGAGAGACAAAATAGAATAATAATAAATAAATACAGTACAGACTATACCGATGTGCCATTTGGAGAGCAAAATAATTAGTTTGTTTTATTTACTAATGTAAAGCGCTTTGAGCATGTTTATGCCATATAAATATCAATATGTATGAATATATTGCCAAATTTTGACAATTGTAGTTTGTAAGTATATGTATTGACAAAGTATACATACAAATAAAACCGACACAGAAATGTCTGCAAGTATTTGGGACCTATATAGAATGTGCGAAAAGAGCTTTGTCTTTGCCTTTGGTCCATGCATGTTCCCACAGCTGAGTTACGTAAGAGGAACAATGAACGTTGCTGAGGGTACGGGTCGTTGTCATGGCTATAAAACTCTAAAGAGCGGAAGTAAGGTAAGGGTATAATTGAATAATTGGATGACAGATCTGAGATTTTATTATCCAAAAAAAGAGAGAAGAGTATGAATTTACAAATAGTACCAAAAAATAGAAGAAAAAAAAATAAAGTGAAAGGCGTAAATTTTCTAAAAAAAGAATGAAACGCCGATAATACCAAACAACAACAACAACAACAACAACAATGAACTGACTTTGTATTCATGTATAACCCTGGTTTATGTTTTTGGGGGGAGGGAAGGGTCTTGTTGTTATTGTAGTTGTCGTTGCTGTTTTTTAAATTTCTAAATGGGATCACGTTCCGACATTCTCATAAATAAAAATCATATAACGTAAAGCCAGACTTTACCCTATCTGAAACACTCATTCAAAGACAACAATCATGCACGATAAAGGAATGGACAAGAATATGTGATAAAGATAAAATGTCACAGACAAATAGATAATTATAAGAAATGATTGTTTCTCTCTCTTTTTCTCTCTGCTTATGTGTGTATCTCTCTCCCTCTATCTCTCACTCGGTCGCTTTCTCTGTCTATCTGCCAATTTTGTTCCGCCGTTTGCTTGTATGCCGGCACCATTCCTTTTTTGAGATAAATTATTATAAAATAATGATGATGTACACACTTTATTATACCTTATATTTATTATAGGGAGCGAAGTGAAAAACGAGCGGCTGATAATGTCTAAATGCGAAGAATATTACTGTACAATAATTATATTTCCAAAGTAAAACTTTTGAATGAAAATCTCTGTTGCAACAAATTGATATAAACACTGTTTATTATGCTATACTGACAATACTATTATACGTCGGACATTATACTTCAGCGAAAAGATATCTATATGATAACAAAAAGGACAGACTAAAAGTGACAAAAATCGGAGCTGGGGTGGGGGGGGGGGGGGGAGGATGATCGGAGAGACAAATATCATATAAATAAATACAGTACGGACTACGTCCAACTTTCTATCTCTCTCGCCCCCTTCCCCTCCCCTTTCTCTCTCTATCTCTCTCTCTCTCGCTCGTTCTCTCTTTCTCTTTCTATTTCCCCCCTCTCTCTCTCTCCCTCTATATGTCTCTCTGTCTATCTGGCAATGTCGTTTTCCATCTTCATCTTTTTTTATTAAATGTTTTCTATTACTCCGTTTGCTTGTATACCGACATCATCTCTTCCTTGAGATTAATTATTATAACGTAATTATCCCTGATGATGTACACATTATACCTTATATTTATTATAGGAAACGAAATAGAGAACGAGCGGCTGATAATGTCGAAATGCGAAGAATATTACTGAACAATAATTACATTACCAAAGTAAAACTTTTGAATGAAAATTTCTGTTGCATCAAATTGATATAAAAAAATGTTTAAAATGCCATATTTACAATACTATTATACGTCGGATATTATACTTCAGTGAAAAGATATCTATATGATGAAGAAAAAAAAGGGCAAACTAAAGGGTAAAAAAAAATCGGAGCTGGGGGGGGGGGGTGATCAGAGAGACAAATATTATATAAATAAATACAGTACGGACTACGTCCAACTTTCTATCTCTCCCGCCCCCTAGCTTTCCCTCCCCTTTCTCTCTCTCTCTCTCTCTCTCTCCCTTGTTCTCTCTCTCTTTCCCTCTCTCTCTCTCTCTGTCTTTCTGTCTATCTGGCAATGTCATTTTCCATCTTCATTTTTTTTATAATGTTTTCTATTCCTCCATTTGCTTGTACGCCGGCAGCATCTCTTCCTTGAGATTAATTATTATAACGTAATTATCCCTGATGATGTACACATTATATCTTATATTTATTATAGGAAACGAAATAGAGAACGAGCGGCTGATAATGTCGAAATGAGAAGAACATTACTGAACAACAATTATACCAAGTAAAACTTTTGATTGTAAATCCCTGTTGCATCAAACTGATTGATACAAAAATTGTTTATTATGCTATATTGACTGTACTATTATCCGTCGGATATTATACTTTAGCCCAAAGATATAAACAAAACAACAACAAAAATGGGGAAAAAAATGTGAGCTTGAGGGGGGGGGGGGGAATCGGTGAGAAAAATATCATAGTAATAAATACAGTACAGACTACGTCCAACTTTATATCTCGCCCCGCCCCCCCCCCCCCTCTCTCCCTGTCCGTCTGTCTCTCTGTCTATGTCGTTTTCCATCTTCATCTTCATAATGTTGTCTATTCCGCCATTTGCATGTATGCCGACATCATCCCTTCCTTGAGATTAATTATTATAACATATCCTTGATGTTATACGTCGGACATTATACTTTAGCAAAAAGATATAATCAAACAAAAAGGAGACAAAATAAAGAAGAAAAAACAATCAGAGTTGGGGGGGGGGGGTGACCGGAGAGACAAATATCATTAAATATCATTGTACGCATATTTTATTTGTTTTGTATGTAATGGAAAGAGCTAAATGAATGACAGAGATTAGAACAAAATCATAATTCATCACAATCAAACCCAACTCTTTCCATCTTGAATCCATAATGTACATTTTGAGTAGCTAAATTTTCTTTTCGTTCATAATATCTTGATTACTGTTCCTAGTTTAATTGTTATGATTTGTATGTCTCTTTTCTGTTGTATAGCGCTCTGATCAGTTTGTCTGTAGTAGCGCTCAATAAGAATCAATTATTATTATTATTATTATTATTATTATTATATTATCATCTCTCTCTCTCTCTCTCTCTCTTCTATCTATTTATCTATCTTTCTCTGTCTGTCTCTGTCTGTCTGTCTCTATCCCCCCCCTTCCCTCTCTGAATACGTCAGGAATTTTGTGAAATTGGAATTGTGCTTCAGTGTATTTTATTTCCGTATCGCGTTGTTGTGTTTGTTTTTTGTTTTTTGAAAGGATGTGGCTAATAAGGAGTTAATCGCCGTAGTATTGGTAGTCTTTTATTTATTCGAAAATAAATATTGAAATATAGTAATTCATTATATTACGGAACAATAAAGAAAGAAGTGCAAACAACGTAATAATTCACTTTATTTGTCTTCGTCTCCATCTGTGTCCTTGTTCAACCTATCGTGTCAATAAACTTAGATAATCCTCGTTTCATGATCAGTTCTGTAGATGGCATGTACATGCAAACATGATAATGATAATGATGATCATGATGATGATGATGATGATGATGCTTACAATATTGTAATAAAATAGTAATAATAATAATAACAATTATTTTCTTCATCTTGCACTCGCTTTTCTTCATTGCCATGGTAGCATCTTTGCCCGGGAAAAGTCTCATATTCGTGGCTTTACCGCCGGAGTTGCTCAAGACAAGAGTAATATTCGGTGGGGGGAGAGAGGAAGAGTAAGGGGTCGTTTTTCAGAACATAACATTTGAACATTTCATATGCCCGCTCAAGCCAAGACCGGCTTTAGGTTGATCAAGATATTTTACTTCAACCTGCTCTAAAATTGTTACATGCCCTCGTAAAGGTGTATAAGTTAGAGTGGTTGTTTGTATTGTAATGTAAATTGACCTATTTACGCCTACATCCTCTTCTTTCAAAACGGCAAGAGTAGTTACTTCTTTACATTCTTTTGTTCCCCCTTAGCGTGGGGCAGCTGAGGGAGCCTGGATAAGCCTTTCATACAAGAGGAGGTCCATACATGAATGATTCGCTAAATTGGTCAAGTTGATAAAATGAAAAGCGTATTGTCATGTAAATACAATGACGTAAAAGATAGATGTGGAGTCAAAACTTTTGAGACGACAGGCTTTATAGATAACTTATGGAAATATCATCGAATGTCGTTGTTTCATATTCTTCATTTTCTACGTCCAACGAATACTCTTCTTCGCTTGATAAGTCCATTTTATCATATTCATTTTCTGAGTCCGAGTCAAGGATCGCTTCTCGAGCATCTTCAACGCTAAAAATAGGCTTTCTCCGATGACGAGACATTTTGAGAAACTATCTTACATAGATAAAGAGCAGTTATAAGCAAAGAATTGAGAACTAATTTGTGCAACCAACTATCGTGAAAATAAAAAAGCTGAACTAAATAGTAAAACTCCGACACTTTATAGCTCGATAAGTAAATAATAGCCGACAACCTTGAAACGAAACAATGGGATGGACTATATCGAGACTAGCTAATCTCCCCAATAATAGGTCGGCCCGGTACCCTGTATACGTACGCATGAGTAAACTGAACTGAGAGCGCTAGGTCGAACGAGACTGTAATATACTATAAGCTTTTCAATAATCGGCCCGTTACCATGAATAGGCATCAATGACCATATAAGGCCAAGGCTCATGCATTGAACGGTGTATCCGCGCGTGCCGAGTACAAAGGTATCCAGAGCGAGTGTGGAATTCGCTGCTTGTAAAATCATTATGTCCGGCTTACACAGTCCTAGGCATTGTAGACCCAGCTAGCTAGCAGCAGCGAATTCGAAAATCTATGAAAATAACGTAAACTGACTTGCATGTGTTCTATACGAATATCCTGAAAGAGGACTCGTGCATTCTCATGCTAAACTTGTAATAAAACAAAAATTACGCATCTACAGTCGGTAAAAAATGAGATGCATGTAGCCAAAGGTTCAAGGTTTGTATACAGGTAGTTTTTATTGTATTTAGAAGGTGAATAGATGTACTTTTCTGCAATAAGAGAAGCCCTTGCTCGGACCCGAGAAATCTCGGTTCCCGTTTGTGAGTACGTACCTCGGGACCCGAGAAATCTCGGTTCCCGAGTTGAACGGGTTAAATGACAAAATCATCTTTGTTTGATCAAAATTGGTTCAGAGTTGGCTGAAATATCCATAAATATCACCATTTCTAATATTTGTGGTGCCCCACAAATATTCGATAATTTGAACCAGCCTTTGAAAAAATTTGATTTCATTACGAAAATGGGCCATTGTTTCTTACCCTTTGGAATATCATGCGGCTGGACTTGCTTCAAGAGTCTGGCATGGCCCTCTACGTTCTTCCTCTTCTTGAGTGATGTCCATTCTTGCATGAATTCATAGGCGGTCATCTAAAAAGAGTGCCAAAGAAAATCATGAGATGAATATACACATACATTAGTATACAAATAATACACAGCAGTGATCAGTAAGAATTACCCATACAAGGTACATTTGGAACAGCCTAACATACCTGAGGCTCTAGCCGAGGGTGTTTGGACTGTTTTGAAGGTACCAAGTGTGGGTTATTTTACTAATGCCCGAACAAAATGATGTGTATTATTTGTTTTATAAGATTACGTTTTATTTGTTTTATGAAATTTTGATAATGACCGGTCATTAACATTTGATAATGACCGGTCATTTTCAAAATTACGTGTACGCTCTCAACCAATCATTTGATTAAGATCGACGTCATTATCTTATAATATAATATAGAGCCTCCTTCATTTATCTACAATCTTTAGAGGAAAGGTTAACAGAATGATGTATAAACTGGATATCAATTTTCACTACCCTATTTTCCTGATTTCATTCACTATACCTTCAACACTATATATCACTTGGATGTTTGAGATAAACATGCGATAGATACTAAAATAGTTTCCAAGCTCGCATGGATCAACTTTTTATTTCTTGAAAATCAGCTGGCAAGCTAACCTTTTTTTGAGCTGGCACACCATTGGCAACTTTTGAAGACGATGGCTTGTCAAACTTCTCCCCTTTTCCTCCGCAGCAGTAGAATCCTTCTTCCTGTTCTCTTTCTTGCCTGTGTCTGCAACTCCCTTCTCAGTTGCTGGTGATGAGGTTGCCGACTTTGCTCTCCCCTCAGAGTGACTTCCTGGTTGAGAGGTTGTGTGAGCTTTGTTTTTTGTGGATACTGGCTCCTATTTTGGAAACATACAGTTAAAGGTGGAAGTGGTTGTACAGGATAATGCTCCTACTGCAACAATCACTCCATGGTCAATTTTGTTTTCTCACTAAGTGTATTCCTGCAACAATTGCTCTGCCTCAGCTTCCTACTTTACCCAAATTCTTACGTTCAACCTAAACTCGATCCCATCCCTAAGCTTGATCCCACCCCTAAGCTTAAACCTATCACAATCTAATGGCAACCTGACCCTAATCCTGTACTTTTCACAAAATAAAGCCCAGAGATGGCACAAGTGATAATAATGGTTGCAGAAGCGATATATTGAAAGTTGGAAATGCTGACGATGACACCTGGACAACCACTGCATGTATCATCATCACTGTCATCATAATAAAGCTCATAATGTATTAAATGTATACACTGAGAAAAAGCTTTACTCACCTTATCTTCATCACTACTCGCATCCTCTTCCTCAATCTGCATTCTCTTTCCAGATTTCTTCTTCTTGTTTACGCCGTTCTCTGCACTCTTTTTTCCTTCGCTCGGCTTGCTCTCCTGAGCTGCCTGGTTCTGCTTATCCCTCATGTCCTATCAACATTAAAGGCATCGTTTAACAATGTTAAATCTGAGAAGCATGGCCCTATGTGTTATCAGTGTCTGTGATATGGTGAAATATTGAAGCCGTAAAAATTGCGCTTCAAAATGATCATGAAGTGCCTCAAAAAATTAAAAAACTTTGAGTGACCAGTTTTACCATACTCATTTCGATTTCCAATCATAAATATCTTGATAATCAGACGGGTAATCGGCTTGAAAAGTCATGGGATTCCTGACTGACCTAAAAGTTTATAATTAAGATTACAGCATAAGCTAAATCTAGGATTTTGTTTCAGAATCTAAGGCAATATTACCCGGTCACTTTAAAGGAAAACAGAAGAATAAATCGCGAGGTAAATTTTTACAATGAATCCAAAAGATACGCCAACAGATCCAGATCTACCCACCATACTTCCACTTTCACTTTTTAAAAAAAATTGAATTGATTTATTTTCCACATTTCAATAAAAATATACAAAACAATTATTTAACACTTTACTGACAAAATAAAGATTTGGAAGACAAATATCAACGAGAACAAAAGCAGAAATACAGAATAACATTAGACTACAAACAAATAAATGTCAATGTGGGGATTATAAAAATAGGTAAACTTAAAACATAACCTCATGTTTGTATGAATGAATGTGTAATTTATATTGGAAAAGAAGACAAAACAAATCAAAGTGATAAATAATAAATACAATTCAGTTGAGGTAAATGAATGAGGAGAGGTATTAACGATTCTGCCTCCCTCCCTCCATTCTCCTTTCCATCACTCCCTCCCTCCCCAACTCCATCTCTCATTCCATCCCTCCCTCACTCCATCCTTCTCTCTGTGCCTCCCTTCCTCCATCCTCCTTTCCATCCCTCCCTCCCTCACCAGCTCCATCTCTCGTTCCTTTCCATCCCTCACTCCATCCTTCTCTCTGTGTCTCCCTCCCTCCATCCTCCTTCCCTCCCCAGCTCCATCTCTCATTCCATCCATCCCTCACTCAATCAATCTCTCCGTGCCTCCCTCCCTCCCTCCTCCTTTCCATCACTCCCAGCTCCATCTCTCATTCCATCCTTCACTCCATGCCTCCCTCCCTCCATCCTCCTTTCCATCCCTCCCTCCTCACCAGCTCCATCTCTCATTCCTTTCCATCCCTCACTCCATCCTTCTCTCTGTGCCTCCCTCCCTCCATCCTCCTTCCCTCCCCAGCTCCATCTCTCATTCCATCCATCCCTCACTCAATCATTCTCTCCGTGCCTCCCTCCCTCCATCCTCCTTTCCATCACTCCCAGCTCCATCTCTCATTCCATCCTTCTCTCCATGCCTTCCTCCCTCCATCCTCCTTTCCATCCCTCACTCCCTCCCCAGCTCCATCTCTCATTCTATTCATCCCTCACTCCATCCTTCTCTCCATGTCTCCCTCCCTCCATCCTCCTTTCCATCCCTCACTCCCTCCCCAGCTCCATCTCTCATTCTATTCATCCATCACTCCATCCTTATCTCTGTGCCTCCCTCCCTCCATCCTCCTTTCCATCCCTCACTCCCTCCCCAGCTCCATCTCTCATTCTATTCATCCATCACTCCATCCTTCTCTCTGTGCCTCCCTCCCTCCATCCTCCTTTCCATCCCTCACCCCCTCCCCAGCTCCATCTCTCATTCTATTCATCCCTCACTCCATCCTTCTCTCCATGCCTCTCTCCCTCCATCCTCCTTTCCTTCCCTCCCTCCCTCACCAGCTCCATCTCCCATTCTATTCATCCCTCACTCCATTCTTCTCTCCGTGCCTCCCTTCCTCCATCCTCCTTTTCATCCCTCACTCCCTCCCCAACTCCATCTCTCATTCCATCCCTCCCTCCATCCTTCTCTTTATCCCTCCTTCCCTCTATCTTTCTCTCCATCCCTCCCTCACTCCATCCTTCTCTCCTTCACTCTATCCTTCTCTCCATTCCTTCTTTTACCTCCATCTCGTTACTAAGCACCACTCACCTTTCTCCAGGCGTCTTTCACAATGTCTAGTTCCTTCTTTGCAGGTGCATTGTTGGGTTCTATTTTGAGCAGATCCATCAGATCTTTAACACTCTCCCGGAAGCTGCCCAACATCTAAAAAGAGACAAAGAGGAAAACTCTGTACAACATCATGAAATTATATTCTCAATAATTTTTGTTCCTAAAAGAAACCAGGAGGGATTGTTATTTGTGACAACTGGCACAAGATTTTCACAATATGTCGGATAGAGATTGCTTAAAGATGTTGATGCGTCGGTTTATAGTCGTTCGTGAAGTAGGCAACTTGGCGAACTCTAAGCCAGCAGGTTTTACGCTCCTGTACGGACAGACGTACGCATATTAGGGACACTACCCGTTGGCTCAGTGTGCTGCCCTCTATATACCCAAGCTTAAGCAAGTTTAAAAATGTTGCCAGAACTTGTTTCATCAAAATTGGTTCCACTAAATCTACTTTTATTTGATAAGTAGTTTCATATTTTTGTTTGAATTTCAATTTTATTACAATCCTTTTCTTTGAGAGCAAATGATTCACATGGGGTTGTTGCATAACATTGGACTGCATAGGATTGGGCGGATTTTAAGGTCCATGGTTCGGTAAGTGTAGGATATTACCAGGTAGCCACTGTAGCAGGAGTAAGTGTTTTTCGACACGACCATGCTCCCTTCGCCACGACTCACATTAAGAAACCATCAAAGTAACTTATTCCTTACCTTTCTTGCCTGGGCTCTGCGATAGAGAGCTTTGATTCCCTTGGGGTCCCTCTTCAGTGCCTCGTTGCAGTCCTCGATTGCATCTTCTGGCTGGGTGATGGGTAAAGTAAGAAGACGGAGTAACATAATAAGATCATTTGTAAGAAAATGGCTTCACCTCAGTCAAGTGATAACATCTGTTGTCTTTAATAGATCAAGGAGCACTGCAGTTTTCCAATTTACTTTAATAGGGTCTAGACTCAGTAAACAGTCTGCAAATGGCTCCTTTCAACAGTTTGTATCACTGTATACTACCGGTACATAAAAAATAATATACAACTATTGGTCTCATCCTACTCAGGATTGTTTTTTTTTTTTACACCCCCCCCCCCTTCTTTTGTATTGGTTTGTGGGGAGTCAGACCCATCTCCAAACCTCAAATAAAGACTAAAACAAATGGTTCAGTACAGACTTTCACAAAGAGAGCTCCTGCAATGTTAGATTTACCTCTATAATGGGTAGTACTGTAGCATTTATGTAGGTAATCAAGAAAGTAAATCTTTATTTATATTAATATTTATTAGAAAAATAACCTACAGAAGAGAATATTATGTTAATAGGAGTCCTACTGCTTTCATACGCTGATCTCCTTTGATTCCAATTACCAGTTCAAAATGAAATTTCCCAGAATAAAACATAATATACGAAACTTCATGAGCTAAATGACTTCCAATACAAAAAAATTACAGAGCATATGAAAACAATATTTCATTACTGATTCTATCTTAGACAAAACACCAAGGGGGTGTTTCGCAAAACCTATCATCAGCGACAAATGACAGTTTTGTTATAAGCTACTAAAATCCTTGCTTCTGATTGGTTATCAGCAGATTTGTCACTGTTATTTATAATTTGTCATTGAAAAAAGGCTTTGTGAAACAGGTCCCAAGAGAATTTCCTTGCAGAGAGAGTGTTTTCTTACCAGGTCCAGCTTGAGATAGCAGAGAGCTCTGTTGGAGTAGCTGACAGCCTGGCTAGGGTCTACCTCTATACTACGGCTATAACAGCCGATGGCTGGACTGTACTTTCCCTGGAGATAGAAAAACAGAATTACCATATAAAAGATACAGAACAGTGTTTGGCATATCTCTGATTAAAGTATTATTGCATGGAGGTGTAATTACTTAACATTTGAGAATAAGGGTCTGACAATCACAACTATTTACTAAAAGGATTTCAAACCCTAAAGTCAATTCAACAACCAACAGTCGAGAACAGCTCTAAATTAGTATTATCTTTCATATGCCGGTGGAACTTAACATTTTCGTTTTGGGGGCCTATAAATGGGACATAGTACTTTTAAATATACTGAATCAACAAAATGAGAAAAGAGAGCACCTAAAGCAAGTTTGAAGAACAGCAACAACAACATAAGAAATATGAGAAATGATAGTAAGCATAAAGAATTAATTTTGAGGGCTATGGATGATGACGATGACGTTAATGATGAAAGATGACAGTAATGTTCACAGTAAAGGTGATTAATATGATAAGGATGATTAAAGATACTATTACTAATGTTAAGAATAAAGGAAATTTAGTCAAGACTAAATATGATGACAATGATGATGACTATGATGACAAGGAAGAGAAGGAGGAGGAAGATGAACCACAATACCTGCTTCACAAGGTCATTGCCCTGACCCTTGAATTCCTGGAACCTCTCATCCTTCGTCTTTGGTTTATCCGGAGCACTCTTCCTCTGCCCTGCTCCTCCTGGTGACGGTTGTGATGGTGATGCAGGGGAAGGACTGCCGGTAGGAGTGGTCTTCCTGGGTGATGACACGCCCCCTTCAGAAGAGGGCGGAGCTCCCTTTTGGGCACTGGGTGTGGCCTTTGCAGCAGAAGGGGTGGTAGATGACGATGACGAAGGGACTTCTGCCACAGGGGGTGTGATTTGTGCAGTACTGGTTTTGGCAGCTAAATCAAATTTCAAAGCAATTAGAAAAGTAAAAGATTGGATGGGTTCATATTTTTTTGTTTGGACAGCTACACCAAACTTCAGACCAATACAAGTAGAAAGTAAAAAGCAGAGTGGATTCAAATGCATTCCTTGTGATGGTCTAGATAAGTTCCCTTTTATTTCATTAAACATCTAACCAAAAAAAGGCCCGACTGATCTGAACACAGCCTGCTGTTGAAAAGTTAGCTTCCAACATTTCTTTTCAATCTCATTGCAAAGCTCAAATGAAACATGAAGTCATTTCATTTGGACACATATGTTAAAAAACACTCATTACACATCAACATTCACGGTGCAATATTCTTTTTGATATGTATGAAACATTTTTTCAAATGTTTGGGAGACGGAGCTCTATTTAATGCATGAATGAACAGATAAAGGACGCTATGCCATTGTATATATTATAGGCTGATCTAGCTGTAGTTTTAAAGGTAAAGACCAGTTTGGAAATGCCCCCCTCTCAAAAAATGAAATGCTAGCTTCATTACCAATCATGTGAAAGAATATGTTTTGACCAATACGTGATGATACAAATTTTGCCGAGAAGCCGCCTACTTATTGATATATTTGGTAAATTAGTTTATCTATTTGGACGTGATAGATATTACGCATGTGTTGTATAGTCCCATATACATCTTTCTGTGTACAGTGCTTGTAACTTTACAAAGACTGGGCCATATTTCTTATCATTTTGATGATTCCCGATTTTGTCCAAACTTGGCGTGTTTGTGTCTTATCATGTACTAATCAAGAATGCTTAGTAAAATTTATGATATATATATATATCGTTAATTTTAATTTATGTCTAATTAATGATGCAAATATGCACATTTTTCCAACATTCTTTTCACAAAGAAATTGATTTTTAATTCAATAATAATAATAATAATAGTGGATGGCTGTACTCACCTGGTTTGGTGGACTGCACCTGTGCTGGGGTAGACACAGAGCCGGTGTGAGTCCCTGAATCTGTTGTCATGGTGGTGGTGGTAGAAGTGGCGGGGGTGGTGGAGGAACCAAGGTTAGAGGTCACATAGGCTGGCCAGGGAACGCTGGGAAATTTGGGTACCGAGGGTAATTTCTCTCTCCATTGCTTCCCATGCTTATCCTTCAAAATGGGTAGCATCCTGTATGTAATATCGATACAAGGAAGTGACTAAATGAGTGAATGAATGAATGCATGCACACATGGGAATGAATAACGAATACGAATGAGCATATGAGAGAACACGATCATAGGAAAAGAGGATGCAAATATTGTCCCTTTGCCTTTATTTAGTCCTTCTTCTTTTAGACATTTTGACTTATCATAAAATCAAAACAGGTTATTTTGACAAAATAAATATATTAAATCCATGTGGATAAAAAAAGGCAAAGCAAACATGCCATGTAAAAGGAGTGAATCAATGATTTAGAACTATGCATAATTACTTACCTGCTGGCTCCATTTTGTGCATTGGTATTGTACATGTCGTAGTTCATCGCTGTCTTGAATTCTACATAGGCATAGTCGTACCTATTCAGGGAGAAAGACAAGAATATATTTGGAAAGGCATATTCTGAATACTTGAGAGCTCATGCTACAAGAATAGCATCATAGAAAATGATATGCAACATACTCAACTACATTGTTCTTAAAGCCCCACTGTCCTACTTGTCGCTACTTGCTCCCTCTATTTAGAAAACTTCCCCAATCGGTGCCTGTTGGTCCCCCATCATCCTCTTTTTTCTTATGTTAGTTGAGAGCTGAGTTAATGATAAAGCCACCTGTCAGTGACCTCGCTGTGTGGTCTAATCCCTTCTGGCCCAATAGTGTTGACGGTCTTTAATGTAAGTGAAAAACAGATGATAAACAGGAATAAACTTAATCTACTCTATACTATACTTCTCTCAAAACTAGAATTTGAACCAAAAAAATGAAATGGATTTGCATACCATGGGTAACTGCAGTTGGAAAGAACTAGAGCACTAGTAAACCCCAACCCAGTTCCTATTGTAGAGCGATGGGAATAACTAAAAGCCTATATTTATCACTAACTTTTCAAGCATCTCGTACGCCTGGGCCCTCTTCAAGTACGTCTTGACGTTGTTGGGGTTAAGTTCAAGAGCCGATGTGCAGTCCTCAACGCAGGCTTTGGGATCGCCGGACTTGAGATGACAGGATGCCCTGTTGCTGAATAGAGTTGACAATCCCATGGGGTACACTTCCCTGTCTGTTGAAACAGTTGAATGAGGGTATAAAATAAGCTTTAAACTTTGGCCTTACTTAACAGTTAATCAGTGAGTAACTCCAAAATCAATGCTTCAGAGAACGGTTGAATAAATGCTAGTTTTAAACGTATAAATATGCAAATAAAGGAAAACTCTAAGAGATTCTAAAAAATGATGCCTCCTCCATAGAGCGATTTTACGAACCAAAACAGAAGCAATTTTAAAATTCAGGTTTGATTGTAATTCATTAAAAGGTTCTCAGAATATTGTGATTACAAGCTATTTTTCATAAACATGCATGACTCTATTATCTTTGGCCTGGTGACCCCAAAATCTAATCAGTTCATTGGCTCTGCAAGATACATACAGTCATACATGACCCAAGTTTGGCAGGAATCTATTAATCGATTCTTGAGATAACGCGATCACAAGAATGGGACGTACGGACAGGCGGACAAACCCGAAGGCATAATGCCTCCAGCTACTACGTAACTGAGGCATACAAATAAATTGTACAAATGTTCTTGATCTGATAAACATAATACTTAAAGATATTCTTCTTTTTTTAGATGGAATTCAGAGATAACAAAATTAATGCACATTTGATGATTAACACAATTAACAATGATGTCAACAGATAGATCTAAATGATCATTTAAATGACCGAGAGCTCACCCTTTTCCAGAGTCATGATGGCTTTGCTGTAGCGATCATTAGCATCTCCATACTGCCCCTGCTTGAAGAAGTCATTGCCATCATCCTTGAGAGAAACCACTGCACCAGGAAGGGATGGAGCAGGCTTGGGCGGGGTCGGTGTTGGTACCTCTTTCAATGTTTGGGGTGCATTCTTGGCCTGAGCAAGGTCAGTAGAGGCATCAGATGAAGGAGGTGGCTTCTTGGACTTGCTGGAAGTGCCACCGTCCGTTTCACTGGTGCCACTGCTTGCTTGGCGTCGAGATCCATTCTCCTCATCGTCCTCCTCCTCGCCGCTCTCCACCTCCTGGATGACTAGTCTCCTGCCTCCAGACTTGGCTTTGGTTTCCTTGGTTTCACCGTTCGAAAGCTTGTCCCCGACCTGCGTCTTATCCTTCCCCATCTTAGTCACAACATCATTCACCATGTCCTAAGGAAAAACAGACACAAAATAAAAATTACTCAAAACACAGAGAATGTGTACTATATTTCCATATGTATTGTAATTTGTAGGTTTATTTGTATATACAGTCAAACCTGCTTTAGTGACCACCTGTCTACAAAGACCACCTGTCTACAAGGACCACATTTTTTGTTTCCTTTGAAAATGGTTTCTCATTGAAACATGTACTAAAGGAACCTGTCTATAAAGACCATCTGTCTACGAAGACCACTTTTTGTGTTTCCCTTGGGCGGTCGCTGTAGACAGGTTTGACTGTATTTTGTTTTTTTAAATATGTAAATGTTTCATTGTATTTTGTATGTTGTAGCGCTTAGTAACTTCGAAGGTAAGCGCTTTATAAGCACTTTTATTTTTAATGTAACAGAAAGATAGTAATACATGCAGAATCTACTTATTAGATTCCACTTCACATTTCAATCAGAAGTCATAACTTGTGAACCCTTTCAAAATATCCTAGTTTTCCAGTATTCCAATTAAGTTTTGTTCTGTGACTCTAGTGTACATTGCGGTCTTTAATAAGTTTATCAAAGTAAAATGAGGCTTAATGAAAAAAATGTGTTTTTTCTATCCTGACAAATTAATTGTACATGGACAGTGATGCTTTCCTCCTGCGTGGGACATGGGGGAGGGGGAGGGGGAAGGGGGAAGGGGGAAGGGGGAAGGGGGATGGGGGGAAGGGGGAAGGGGGAGGGAGTGATTGTTGAAACAAAATTGCAATTTTTGTTGTAGCTTTATTTACTTGCAAAACTATCATTGCTATTTTTGCTTCTCTCATTGGAGTTATTGCATCACTGCAATACAACTGAACTCTGTTTGTTTGTATAAATGTTTTGTATTTTGTTTATATCATGTTACTTTCAATATTGTAACCTTGATTTTGTATATATGTGCTTTTGAATTTTAAGCGAATAAAGAATTCGAAAATGAAAAAATTAAATGAAAATACATGGCTTATTACATATATTAATAACACCAGACCTGCCAACCTCTGGAATTCAAAAACTGTATTCTTTAGTCCCAAAAGTTGTATTTTACTGACAAAAGTTGTATTCTTGAAAATAAACACGGATTGTTACGCGGATCAATGCCTCTTACAGTTTCTACCTACAGAAAGAATTTTTTTTATTGATCATTGGTTGAATATGCATGATTTTGTCATGACTGGTGTGTTTGATGAACCAATGAACATCCCCAAATTTCTGATGTGAGATACTTGTAGGATACTTTACAGGACAGAATGGACATTTTGCCATTGAAAATGGCGGATGCACACACAAAATATTAATTTTAACAAAATTTAAAAAATTAAATTAAAAAATAAATAAATAAAAAAAATAAAAAATCATTTTTTTTTTTTTTTTTTTTTTTTTTGAAAATCGTATTTTATTAAGGAAAATCGTACTGTCGTATTTGCTTCTAAAAATCGTACTAAATAGGACTAAATCGTACTGGTTGGCAGGTCTGTAACACCCCAATCGAGCGCAATAAAGTAATGGAGACAATATTCCATACAAGATTGCCTTGTAAAAGATTTCAGACCAACATGATAACTGGCACTTACCAAAGCCTGCTTGTTGTTGGGTTCTACTTGAAGTACAGCCTGCAGATCTTTGAGAGCCAACTCGTAATTCTTCAGAGATTTCCTGGCTGTTCCTCTCCGCAAAAGGGCTGCAAACATAAGTGTGCAATGATTTTTTATCAATCTTCAAGTGAAAAATTAAGAGTGGTTGAACTCTGCATAAATTAATTATTGAATAATTATACTTCAAGATATATTATGATCACTACCATCCTGATCTTCTATGTACATTTTACAGAATAGTTTTACTCTGAAGTTCTACTATACACAACTGAAATAATAGCAATAGCAGATCATTTAAACTAAAATACACAATAACTTTGAGGAGTGGCAAATAATAATCTGGCAGATCAATTACTACATTACAAAGGTATGCATGCCTAGAAGCATATAGGTATTCTACAGATAAATTTTTTTACATTTTAATGCCATTCAAAAAATAGGCTAGAACAGACAAATCCTCTCACATAAACATGAACATAATAATAATACTACTACTACCAATAGTAGTAATAATAGCATTAATAATAGTAAAAATCATAATAAGGAGAAGAATAATAATAAAAATAAAAATAAAAATAATAATAATAATAATAAAAAAAATAATCATAAGAAAATAATTTTAAAACTAATAATGATAATAACAACAGCAATAATGTTATATTCATATAGCACATTACATCATACATGTCAATACACAGTATACTCACCAACATATGAATGTGTAGTTATTAGTAGCTACATGAGTTTGTCATACCACAAAACCTGTCTTAAAATACATGCAATTCCTACATAAAACTGAAGTAGAAGTGAATGTCAAAGATCCTCTACTGTATTGTTGACAGTTTGTGTCATTTGTGTATGTGAAAACAGTGTTTTGAAATACTATTGCGCAATCCAGATTGTACATGGTTGGAATTCCCCAAGTCTGAAATTCCCCAATTTCTATAAATACCTACTCAATACCTGTGCAAACGTCATTGCTAAACAATGCATATACAAACACACATGAATGTAACCATAATGGCCTTCAGGAGGGAAGGGTATTCCCTAGAAGAATATAATATTTTCTGTGAGGCAAATGAAGGTCTTTGGGAGAAATTGTATTGAATTATTACCCAAACCTACAGAATTCTTCAGCAATTAAGGGGTTGACAGTTCAAAATATCTTGGCAGTAAAATATTGACAGCCATGGTTAAAAACACATAATACGGCCCTTTATCATTGTCAATTGTACTTCTTCTTCAACCATATGGCACTCATGTTTATATAAGAGAGGTTACTCTACCTTTGATGTTGGTAGGCTCTAGTTGCAGCACCTTAGTACAGTCTTTCTCTGCTCCTTCATACTCTCCTAGTTTAATTCCTGTAAGATAAGAAGATAAGCAACAGTTAGCACCATGTGATTGTACATGTAATACAAGGTAAAGCCAGACACTGTACGACCCGATTTTAGAAAACATTGTAATATTCAGGGGTGATAGTGAGCACTAATAGTTTTTTTTTCCTCTCAACCAAGCTCCCCTTGAGTAAAAAAAAAAAAAAGGAGGATTCAGTGAAAAAAAAGGCATCTTACAACATTTCCCCCCCCCCCCCCCCCCCCCCCCCCCCCCCCCCCCCCCCTCCCCCCCCCACCCCCCCCCCCCCACCCACCCCCCCCCCCACCCCCCCCCCCCCCCCCCCCCCCCTCTTCTTTGAGTAAGAAAATTGGGACAAAATAGGGAAAAAATAGGGGAAAATAGGGAAGAATAGAGAAAATAAGAAAAAAATCAGCAAAATTGGGATAAAAATCGGGGAAAGATAAAAAAATTGGGTTAAAAAAAAAAAAAATCAAAAAAAAAATCAGAAGAACCGATTTAAATCGGGTAATTATCAGTCCTGAATATTAATCGATTTGAATCTTTCGACATATCAAACCTTAAATTTTCATATTCCTGAAATAATCCAAGGATAAAAAAGAAAAAACGTAACCTATTTCCATGTGATCCAATTGATTATTTTAATACATATGCTGATTTCAGTATATCTCTACGTTTTATCATCATTATTCCTTTATCATCTCGCAACCTTAAGGACACAGACAAAATGGTTGGGGTTTAGGAGCCTGATCCCAAAACTCACTTGCTAGGGACCTGTTGTTGAACGCAGGAGCAGAAGCTACCACAGATAGACTCCTGGTATAGTAGAGAATAGCTTCTTGGTAATCACTGGCACGGAATGCCTGGGCAAAACAGAGAAAACAACAACAAAAATGAAATTAAAGATGAATTGAGTGGTATAAACCGATCCTGTCCATGATTCTTGTTGTAGCTAGCATGTAATGCCTATTACAGAGAAAACTCATAGCTTGGTATAAATGACCATTAAACAAAATGGATTACAATACAGCATTTATTTCCTGCAATGTGTCCACTCAAACCTTTAGAACAATCTGAACAACATTACCAAGTCCATTTAAGCTACGGAAGCTTCCACTATGCTTAACTACCTTATTTCACATATATGTGACAACCCCTTTAGTTATCATTAATTTATACATCTACGACACTTTAGGCATGGAACTAGTGTAGGGTGTAGTGGTGTTTACGTGTTTTGCTATCGATATTGATATCGGGCTCTTTAATTTCATCAGCAAATTTTTAGCTCGATTAAGAGTTCTTGACTGCTCTAAACACTAACACTAACACTAACACCCAACTTGAAATGACTCAATATAAATTCTGGTGACAATCTTCAATACACTGGATTAGCAGCAAAAATTAAAATGGCATAATGGATGCCAACACTCACCTCGTTTCCTTTGTCTTTCTCTCTGTTTGCCACAGCTTCTCGTTCTCGGTCTGACATACCTGATAAGAACAATGAAATCAACAATTAACAACAATTGCTCAGTTTTTTTTTCCCCCCCAAGAATTTACACAAATTAACCATTGATTTTTTTTCCCATTCATTTTCAAGCTCATGAACCTTGTCAGATTCACATAACTCATCAATGTCTCGAAAATTCAATTCACATATTTCTTGTAAATGGTCAAGGATAATTCTTGAATGATCATTTTTGTTATTTTACCTCTTTATATACTTGTGTATTTACCTATTTGTTTTTGCTGCTGTTATTTGTTTATTTTTAATACAAAACAGGGCTCCATGGAAAACCACCAAATTGGTGATATGTGCCACTCTGTATAAATATCAGAAATAAATCAATAAATAAATGAATTACCACTTGTATCAATTTCCGCTCTGGCCTCTGTGGCTGATCGGGCTCTTGCCAGTTTCTCGTAGGCAGCTTTCATGCCTTCATCCTTGTCCTCCACTTTGGCTTCTTCTTCATCAGCATCATACTTGTCCCACTGTTTGAAGTCCGACCCTTTGATCCGCTCTGACGACGGCTTCCCCCACTCCTTGGAAGATTTGTTCTGTGAGGGATAAAAAGATGAATATTACAGAGGGGTAACAAGTAGAATGGGATATATGGTTTCAGGGGGGGGGGGGTGTTTCACAAAGATCCTAAGTTGAACTTATTTGTAAGTTGGACTTAACAATATGGAATGCCATTAGCATCCTTGAAAATATTTTGTAAAAGTTATTTTGGAAGGCATAAAATGTTGATTCAAATCATTCATATTTTCTAATATCATGAAAGATTTCATGTTCTTGATGTGGAATTAATGAAAAGTCTAAAATACTTGAATTTTTGCTTTTGAATACATTTCATTATGAGGCTGCAAATGGCTCTCCATAATATTTAAGAACAAATAATAGAGTTAAGTTCAACTTAGAACCTTTGTGAAACACCCCCCAGAAATATTACATACTGAGCAAAATTGATTGACTGTAGCCAAAATAAAGAGTTGTTTTCCTTTAATACTACCACGAGGTAGTGGGGAAGCATTCTTGTTTATCCTGAGGTCAAGCTCAACAAAGTTCACTGTCAAATCTTTAAACTGGAAACCTAAATACTATTTATTTTCAATTTTACGCTGTGGTTTTGTCGTTTCATTTATTTAAATATCATTATTCTCATTCTCACTTTCTTTCTTTTTTTCATTTTTTCCATTTTTCCTTTTTGTTTGGGCGGGGGGGGGGGGGGGGGGGTATTCTCTTCTTCTTTTGTTGTTGTTGTTTCATTCAGCAGTTTACTCTGGCATATGGGAGGAACGCTTCAGAAGTCTAAAGGTGCTTGTGCATATTTAATAGTTCTGTTACCAGTAATGCACAGGATGTTTGAATCTCTATTTAAGAGGGGTGATTTATAATTGATATTACCTTCTTGCCTGCTGTGTTTATCACACCCCTATTTCGAACAGGTGGTAAGTTCTCGTCCGTGGCCTCTTCTCCATCTATGCTCCCCTCCTTGGAAATGTCATCGGCCCATTCCTTTAATGAAAATGCAAAACAAAACATTCACCAGAAATAAATGAAATTGAAATTGAAATTTTATTCAGTCTCGCTGAAAGAAACTGGGTGGTTTCTGTGCTGAGCCTATTGGAATGGCCGACTTCAGCATGCAACGGGTTAAAGTAATGGAGAAGATCCTACCAAAAAACCTTTACTATGATCACATCCATCTTCCACTGGCCTTACAAATCTTCAAAAGAACTGGGTCCATTAGAAGACAAAACACTTTTCTTACAATTACGGTAATCTTTTTCACAAATCAATAAATATTGTTCTATATAATAGAGCCATATTCATTACCTTGACGTCATTGTTGACCTTTGTCCACTCCTCTTTGCCCAGGTCAAACTCCGTAGCTGGGGTAACCTCCTTCCTCAGTAATTTACTATAAGACAATAATAAACATTTTATAAATGTAATGCTTCCTTGGAGAAATGTTAATTGTTTAAACATAATTGTGGCTTACACCCAGTAAATAAGATTGATTGATCGATCTGTAATTGAAAAAAAGAAAGAAAGATGGGCAGGTTCAAATCCTGCTGGTTCCAAGATTTTTTCTGACTTGTTTTTTCAATTACAGATCGATCAATCAATCTTATTACTGGGTGTAATTAAGCCACAAATATGTTTAAACAATAATAAACATGTAGGGTGATGAGGCAATATCAGTGTAGTTTGTAAACCCTCACAAACATGTTGCCGTCCACATAATAATGTACTGTAGCCGCTCCTGCCGTGTGCTGCAACAATTGAACAAGTGATGTATACTTGACTGAAGGTATATCATTGTAAATTTTGTTCAAGTAAAGTCTGGGCGTACAGGTCAAGTGTTTCAAAAAGCAACGCCTTTTTTACTCCCCCATCATGTATTGCGATAACAGAACATACTTTAAAACAGGTACACAAATAAAAACCACAAAATAAAAATGTTTGATAGTACCTCTTCGGAGCAATGTCTGCTAGCTTTTTCTCACAGAAGTCTACAAGGTCAGGGTAGTAACCCTCGGTACCAGACCTGTTCAGAAAATAACAAGAGAAAGATAAATCATCCATTCAATTCACTCAAGGCAGTAGCACTGAAAGATATACAGTTCAAATTTCAGAGCCAAAGAGTAGAGTTGGAAGGCCATAATAGTCACTTCGTTAGACTATTTTAATGTTGATGTTTACTGAAAGGAAGGTACGAGCCAATTTAAAACAGCTGCAAAGATTTTCCTTCACAAGTGGGGTGATAATAAAAGCAAAGAGGTGGTGAGTTACATTACACTCCTTTAGCCGTGGCAGTGTTGAAAGATTCTCTATAATTAATCTTAAACATTGTCTTTTCACACAAAATAAGCAATGAGGATGAACAGAACAAATTGTCAATTTGCATTCTTCTCTACATTTACATATCTTTAAAGGGGTAGGAGAGACGGCAGACAGGCATGTCCTACTGGGTATTGGATTTGTTTAACAGTATACCGCTTATTGTCTATCATTTGGAAATTGAATTAATTATTTGAAAAGCAGAGTCAGCTTTCTAAAATTACTGGCTCCTCACAAAAGGCAGAGTTCAACATCAACAGGGTTCCGGTAGGCCTGTAAACATGGAACCTCATCCCCCCCCCCCCTTATTAAAACAATAAATAATAATAATCATAATAATACAAAACACAAAACACAAAAAATAAATAAATAAGAGACAAATTTGTTAACAGGGCCTACTGGAAAGAGAAGAAATTTAGCTTGGAGAATGACCGACAGACAGAACAATAATCTAGGAAAGAAAAAAAAAATGAAAAAAAAACCAAGGAAAAGACATGAACTAAAAAGAGGAGAGGAGGGAACGGAAATAAAGTTATAAGGGTGGAGGGGTACACAATTTGTGGGACTGACCTGAGAATTTTGTAGATCTTCTCCAGTTCTTTTGCATCTGTACATTTCCCAATGTAGTCATAGTCCAAAAGTTCTATGGGAATTCTTTTGTCAGAAGAACTACTTGTTCCAAGTATCTGTTGCGCAGCATCTATGTTAGCCATCTTTTTACTGTACACCCAACAACAATCCTGGAAAGGAGAAACAACAAGGAGAACAAATATAAATGTCAATCTGTTTTTCACATCGCCATTGCGCAAATCGAAAAACAGAAAACGCGTCTGCAAAAATTAACGATTGTCCGCATTTTCGCTGACAATTCCGTTTTCCGATTCGCGCGATGGCGATGTGAAAAACGGGTTCTGCAATGATTTTCTTGATGCATTTTACATTGACTTTGTACAGAGACGTTCACGCTAAGAGCGCTAAGTCCTCGAGAAGACAGACATAAAAGTAGACGTTGAACTTCTGGTATTTTATTACGTGGAATCCTTTTTTCGCATCGCCAGCGAGCGGATCAGGAACGCGAACCCCGCACTCCGCAAAGCGCCAAAGAAAAAAACGTGAGAAAATGCGGACAATCATTACTCTTAGTAGGGAGGCCAATGCCCAAATCTAACTTTTTAATTACTAATTTGTTTATACTAAAACTAAGATTAAAAGAAAGCATTTACTTTCACTAAGAAAATCCACCCATCTGCCGACTCCATAGGTTCCATCAAATAGGAGATATCCAGCTGGTTTGTAGCCAATTCCTTCTACGCCTTTCCGTACGTAAGAGCCTTGAAACAATTATATTTCATGTCGCAAAGTTACGTTCATAATTAGACAGGCCCGAGGGACAAAGTTCATGATGAAGTTTAAAACTTCGCGCGAAAGTGCAATCACTCAACAGCGGCTAGCCTTGAATCGGTCGCACACGTACACACCTTCTTCTTCTTAGTTGATCCCTCCACCGACACAGGCAACCCCCGATGCAGGCTGAAGTCCAGCCATCAATGTGCGAACGATTACATCTTCTACTACTACGAGCCGAAGACGATGGTTCAAAAAAGGAAAGAAATATATATATTCATTGATATTTACCTTTGATGTGTATTCCAATAATTTGATTTCCTCATGAGTATTCCTTATTATCAACGATCGAGAAGTTACGAGGTCCAATTAAAATCCATCTTGCAGCGAACACAATCATAGCGCACATCCATGCATGCAACGTACGTGTACTAATATTTCTCTCACTCTCTCTCTCTCTCTCTCTCCCTTTCACTATACGTAACATACACACTCACTAACCAACACACACCTTCAAATCATGGCTTTCATTTCAATTCTCAATTGGAGTATAGACTGCTCACGTAGACTTTTTTTTTTACTGAAATATCTTTTTTAACACTTCTCATACATTACTGCACGACACTCGTATCTAGTGCTGTGAGAATAAGGTACTAGGGTCTATAAATAAGACTACGCTTTGCGCACGATTTGACCGGAGCTCAGATTATGTCGCAATACCCTTTATTTTTGGCGCGAACAATGACGTCACTGTTCACTGTTTTCCTTCTCATTTTGAGATGGATGTAGTTATAGGGCTCAAACCAACGCAAGATTGACAGAAACATCGTACTCTATCTACTTTCGAATGTTCAGTTTGTAAAAATCTGTATTTAAAAAGATATAATCTTTTTTCTTTATATTTTCTAGTTGTTAGAAGTGGCAATTGTGAACATCTGAAATGTTGATCTCTATCAAAAGTTCTTTACTCAAAACGGATCCCATATTTTTAGGGTCTACCTTCTGCCAATGAGAAGGTTTTTAGTGAGCAAACCTCTACGCCCTCTAGGATTTTCTTAGTCGGTGGTGCGAGTGCGTCAAGGTCGTCTGCAACCACAATTATTGGATTAAAAAACGTCAAAATCTGCAAGATTGTCAACAAATGGTGAAAGACTGTTACAGATCCGTGATTATAGGTATGTTGTGAAATGTATAATTGTATTTTCTTTTCATATTTTCTTCAATTTTTATTTTTACATCATTTTTTTCCCTTTGCTAATTTTTTGAAGTGGGCGACGAGCGCACAAATCGTAGGTGTAGAAGTAGGGAGGCCAATGCCCAAATCTAACTTTTTAATTACTAATTTGTTTATACTAAAACTAAGATTAAAAGAAAGCATTTACTTTCACTAAGAAAATCCACCCATCTGCCGACTCCATAGGTTCCATCAAATAGGAGATATCCAGCTGGTTTGTAGCCATTTCCTTCTACGCCTTTCCGTACGTAAGAGCCTTGAAACAATTATATTTCATGTCGCAAAGTTACGTTCATAATTAGACAGGCCCGAGGGACAAAGTTCATGATGAAGTTTAAAACTTCGCGCGAAAGTGCAATCACTCATCAGCGGCTAGCCTTGAATCGGTCGCACACGTACACACCTTCTTCTTAGTTGATCCCTCCACCGACACAGGCAAGCCCCGATGCAGGCTGAAGTCCAGCCATCAATGTGCGAACGATTACATCTTCTACTACTACTACGAGCCAAAGACGATGGTTCAAAAAAGGAAAGAAATATATATAATTCTTTGATATTTACCTTAGATGTGTATTCCAATAATTTGATTTCCTCATGAGTATTCCTTATTATCAACGATCGAGAAGTTACGAGGTCCAATTAAAATCCATCTTGCAGCGAACACAATCATAGCGCACATCCATGCATGCAACGTACGTGTACTAATATTTCTCTCACTCTCTCTCTCTCTCTCTCCCTTTCGCTATACGTAACATACACACTCACTAACCATGTCATACAACACACACCTTCAAATCATGGCTTTCATTTCAATTCTCAATTGGAGTATAGACTGCTCACGTAGACTTTTTTTTTTACTGAAATATCTTTTTTAACACTTCTCATACATTACTGCACGACACTCGTATCTAGTGCTGTGAGAATAAGGTACTAGGGTCTATAAATAAGACTACGCTTTCCGCACGATCTGACCGGAGCTCAGATTATGTCGCAATACCCTTTATTTTTGGCGCGAACAATGACGTCACTGTTCACTGTTTTCCTTCTCATTTTGAGATGGATGTAGCTATAGGGCTCAAACCAACGCAAGATTGACAGAAACATCGTACTCTATCTACTTTCGAATGTTCAGTTTGTAAAAATCTGTATTTAAAAAGATATAATCTTTTTTCTTTATATTTTCTAGTTGTTAGAAGTGGCAATTGTGAACATCTGAAATGTTGATCTCTATCAAAAGTTCTTTACTCAAAACGGATCCCATATTTTTAGGGTCTACCTTCTGCCAATGAGAAGGTTTTTAGTGAGCAAACCTCTACGCCCTCTAGGATTTTCTTAGTCGGTGGTGCGAGTGCGTCAAGGTCGTCTGCAACCACAATTATTGGATTAAAAAACGTCAAAATCTGCAAGATTGTCAACAAATGGTGAAAGACTGTTACAGATCCGTGATTATAGGTATGTTGTGAAATGTATAATTGTATTTTCTTTTCATATTTTCTTCAATTTTTATTTTTACATCATTTTTTTCCCTTTGCTAATTTTTTGAAGTGGGCGACGAGCGCACAAATCGTAGGTGTAGAAGCCTTACGCCCGGGCATTGGCCTCCCTAGTAGAAGCCTTACGCCCGGGCATTGGCCTCCCTACTCTTAGGATCTACTACTAGGACGCATTTTGTATAGTAAAGTAGATTAGTAGACTAGTATATTTTACAATGGCAGTTAACAATGTTTATTAATTGATGTGTAGGCCTAGATCTAGTCAGAATCAGCACATGATTCATGAAATAAAATGTGACAATGATTCACATCAAATGCAACGCCAGCGCGCAACGCAACGGCACCCTCGGAAATCGGTTGAAATTGAATAGTTTGCAAATCATTATGAAACATTTTGAATTTCTTTCATAATCTACATCCATCCATTTATTATCATATATCAACAGGTTAACATCAATCATTCTCTCTAGACTAATTATTTTAATGACGAACCTTTCACATGCGACGTGAAGATCTTGCTCAATCCCTCGTGCAAAAAAGCAATATCGGAGGTAACTTAATTACGCGATCTTGTGAGTCGTCCAGAGTCGTATTGGTCATTATCGTCCCTGCAATATTGCCCTCCTCTTGATTCGCTCCATGTGCCGCGGAACGGGTGAGGTGCAGCCCCGCGTTTTTTTTCATGATCGACAAACCACAATTTCGAACATACGATAATTTGGCTGTAGGGTTCTTTAGAGTTTAGAATCCATAATATTTCAGTAATTCAAAACTGACAATCTTCCAACTCTGTCGCTCTGCTCACTTGCACGTTAAGGAGCACAATGCAACAAGATTACATGCATTAAATTTTCATATTTTCCAGTACTACTATCCTGTAATATATTTTGTTGTTAATTGTAACAATTGAACTCTCAAAGTATATGTTGCCTTTTTTCAAGGTCTAGTACTTACCGAAATATGCTAATACTTACTTTTCATCGGATTAAAAAACTAATCACTGTCTTTGCTATAATGTTCTATTAAAATATTATAATTATGCAACAACGTTTTCTTGAACGAAAAGCAAAGCAAAACAAAACAAACAAACCATTCTTTTATTACTAGGATATACCAAATACTTTGTATATAATGTCTTGTTCTTACTTATTTTTGTATTGCTGTTATGAATTTATGTTTAAGATTTTGTTATTAATATTATTATCATATATATATATATATATATATATATATATATATATATATATATATTGTTAAACCATAATGTACCTCATTGTGTTTAACACGGGGCCTCATGGAAGCCACCACCATTATTGGTAATAATGAGTCCTCTTGTCTAAATATCAGAAATAAATAAATAAATAAATAAAGATTATATACTGCACTGGCGTTATAAATAATTAATGTGATCCCTTATGTATGATCAACTAAACTGGCTTTATTGTAAAGTATAAATGTCAGTACGTAGGGCCCTTACCGTAGTACAAAAACAACAGCAACAACAACGATGAATAATTTCCAATAGTGCCTCATAAATCATGAAAGGGTCAACGGTGAATCAAAGCCAATGAGGAATGTCTTCCTTTTTTTTTAAAGGGCTCTTCAAAAATGTATAGAAATCACCAAAAAGTGTCTAAATTTACAATTTTATGTTATTAAAAGACGGAGAAAGAGGCTTAAGTTTGCCTGTGTTTTCAAAATTGTTCAAAGTACAGAATGCAAACATTTTTGCTAGGTCGACCGCTGCGTCCCTCGCAAGAACCTAAAAATGGAAATTTTCAAAGTGCGTCATTAAAAGGCAAAGTTTGATATTTCCCGGAAGCTTTGACGTTTAATTAGAATATTAGAGGAAGAAGACGGTTCTTTGTACCGTTCTCTACTCTTAATCCTTGTCTGAATTCAGTTTCCGCCTTCCGCGAGAAGCGCGGAAGCTTTGACGTTTCATTAAATCATTAGGGCCTACTCTTAATCCGTGTCTGAATTTATTTTCGCCGCTCCCGCGAGAAGCGCGAAAGCTTTGACATACATTGTTAGAGAAAGAAGACGATTCGTTGTACTGTTTCGTTTAAAAAATGATAAAAATTTACAGTTCGTAAAAATATGCCGGCCTACCGACAGAACATAATTGATATAGTACACGAGGATAGAGCTAGATTACCGACACCGCGGACCCGACACAGCAACATAACTATGCGTATCTTTCTTGCTCCCTCGACGAAGCGACTCTATACCTAACATCCCCCTCTCTTTCTTACACCCACCCCTCTTCTCTCAGGCTCTTACACCCCTCTCTCTCTCTCTCTCTCTCTCTCCTCTCTTTCACCCCCCCCCCCTTTATTTTGTTCCCTTTTACTCTTTTTTCCCTTTATTCCTTTCTGTTCTTTACTTTCTTTTCCTTTTTTCCCTCTCCTTCCTTTTTTCTTGTTCTCTTTTTTTTCTCCTTCTCTCCTCTATCCTTTCTTTTCCTTTTCTTTTTCTTTCTTTCCTTTTCCCTTTTCTCATTTTTCCCGACGGCAGCGCAATTTTACCGACGATATCCTGACCAGTGGCGTACGCACGATTTTTTCAAGGGGGGGGGGTTTAACATTTTGACATTTTGAAATTTCGCAACGACTCAGTCAGCCGCTGAATAAGCGGGGGGGGGGGGGTAAGAGGACACTTTTTTTTTTGGTCTCGAAATTTGAAAATTTGACATTTTTCTTCGTTGGGGGGGGGGGGGGGTAAGGTCACCTTTTTTAGGTCAGCCATTGGCATAATTTTTTTTTTTTTTTTTATTAAATTAAAAAAAAGGGGAGGGGTTTCCTCCAAAACACACACATAAAAATTACCAAGGGGGGGGGGGGTTCAATCCCCAAATCATTAGAGAAAGAAAACGATTCGTTGTCGTTCTCGACTCTTAATCCTCGTCTTAATTCAGTTCCCCCCTTTACGCTTTATTAAATCATAAGAGAAAGAAGACGACTCGCTGTACTGTTCTCGACTCTTAATCCTCGTCTGAATTCAGCCCCCCCCCCCCCTCTTACGTTTCATTAAATCAAAGGTGAAATAAGACGATTCGCTGTACCGTTCTCGACTCTTATAACCCTCGTCTGATTTCAGTTTCTCCCTCCCGCGCGAAGCGCAAAAGCTTTGACGTTTCATTAAATTATTAGAGAAAGAAGACGATTCGTTGTACCATTCTCAATTCTTAATCCTTGTCTCAATTCAGTTCCCCCCCCCTCGAAAATAATCATCGTCTGAATTCAGTTTTCCCCTCCAGCGCGAAGCGCGAAAACTTCTTACGTTTCATTAAACCATTAGAGATGGAGACGAGTTGTATTACAATTTCGACTCTTAATCCTTGTCCTTATTTAGTCCCTCCCCCCCCCCCTCCTGCGCGAAGCTCGAAGCTTTGACGTTTCATTAAATTATTATTAGAGAAAGAAGACGATTCGTTGTACCGTTCTCGACTCTTAATCCTCGTCTGAATTCAGCTTCCCCCTTTGACGTTTCATTAAATTATCAGAGAAAGAAGACGATTCGTTGTACCATTCTCGACTCTTAATCCTTGTCTCAATTCAGCCCCCCCCCCCCTCGAAAATGTTCCTCGTCTGTATTAAGTTTTCCCTCTCCTGCGAGAAGCGCGAAAACTTTTACGTTTCATTAAACCATTAGAGAAAGAAGACGATTCGTATTACAATTTTCGACTCTTAATCTTTGTCTTAATTCAGCTCCTGCGTGAAGCGCGGAAGCTTTGACGTTTTATTAAATTATTAGAGAAAGAAGATGATTCGCTGTATCGTTCTCGACTCTTAATCCTCGTCTGAATTCAGCTTCTCCCTCCCGCGCGAAGCGCCGAAGCTTTTACGTTTTATTAAATTATTAGAGAAAGAATACGATTCGTTGTACCATTCGCAACTCTTAAACCTTGTCTCAATTCAGTCACACCCCTCGAAAATAATCCTCGTCAGTCCCCCTCCCCCCTCCTGCGCGAAGCTCGGAAGCTTTGACGTTTCATTAAAATTAGAAAAAGAAGATGCTTTGTTGTACCGTTCTCGACTCTAAATCCTTGTCTGAATTTTAAAATTGTTCTTTGTCTGCTTCTATTTCTTATACGTCCTCTTTCTTTCTTTTCTCTCCTCTCTTTTTCGTTTGTTTTTTGTTTATATTTTTGGCAGACGTTTGGGGGGACCCTACCTTTCTTTTTTCTCTTATTTTTTTCTTTCCCTTTCTCTCCTCTTTCCCTTTCCCTTCCCTTCCTTCTCTCTCTTTTTTGGCGGGGGCGGGGGGGGGGGGGGGCAAGGACCTCCCCCCCCCCGGATCCACAACTTGTTGGCGGGAAAATTGCAACTGATATCCCCATTCTTTTCTTTTCTTCTCCTTCCCGTTATCTCTTCATTTCTTTTTTTCTTTCCCTTTCCTCAGTCCTTCTCTCTTATTATTTTGATCGGTGGGGGAGAGGCAACAGGCCCTTTCGCCCCCCCCCCCCCCGATCTCTTTTCTTTTCTTCTTCTTCTTCTTCCTCTTCTTTTTTTTTGCGGGGGGGGGGGGCAAGGCCCGCTCGACCCCGCCTCCCCCCTGGTTCCGCGCCTGCCCCCCCCCCCTTTCACGAGTGGGTGATAGAGAGAGAGAGATTAGATTAATTTTGGTGGTGCAAGCTAGTCGATACAGCATGAAAAAGGACGAAACAAAAAGTACGGAAGTGGATGCGGGTCGATTTTAATCAAGATTAATAAGAGACGATTCATATTGCATGGTATTGTTGATAGCGCTAGCGCTGTGATGGGTGGCTCGACTCTGCGGTCAAGATCAAATTAATGTAAGAGCTGTAAAAAGTAACATAAAATTGGTTTGATCAAAGTTTATTCATGGTTGTGGAGCGTTGAAGATCAGTCCTGTACAGTATTATTTTTTATGACGTTGTATCTAGAATGAATGTAGATTTAGTATCACATTTCAAATCATTGGCGACACTGCAGTGATGACTGGATCAAACTGATCACGCCCAATGCACTGTCAAGCCGGGCGGCCGCCCCGGCCCGGCCCCGAGGGCGAGCGAGCAACTCGTGCCGCGCCGATGCGATCCGTCGATTTTTTTTTTTGGCGATGTCATGTCATTGATCTAGAGTCTAGTAAACATTGCTTTGCACTTTTAATTTGTGTATGAAATCTCATCATTTGATCAATTATCGCATCAGATTCTGTGTACGCGGTATTATGAATATTTATAACTGGTGTATGACGTGAGTTGTGTGAGTATCAAATGTTTGAAGAATGAAGGGGTGATCGATCATGGTGATGACCAAACTCCAAGGCAAAGGCAAAGTTCGCTTAGATTTTGAAACTCCAACTATTTCATTATAGGCCTATAAACTAAGGTCTTAAGCCTGGCTTAAGGATTTTATTTTACTGAACAAAAGTGATTCTACTTCTAGTTTAGACTACTTAAACTTAGACTAGTTATTTTTCCCACATTCTGAGTGCAATAGTGCATTGTCCTTCAAATAAATTTACACATTAGAATTTGGCTTTAGATTTTATTTGCAAGGTCATTGCAATAGGTCTACAATTTTACAAAGGAAATTAGAACATAAAATCATTAATAAACAAAGCTAACAAAACCAAAGACAAAGAAAAGAAAATATTACGTTTATAGGCCTGCAAATCGCTGTATAACAAAACGTTGTCTAGAGCTAGTGGGATGAAAGTCAACTGGCCATTTTAAATGTGAAGGGATAAAGACGTTAATCCAACATTTGTAAAATGTAACATCCATTGACAGCGGTGGCATTGTTACATTTGATGTCCCAACTTCCCAAGTGACTGTATCTTTGCCAATAATGTTTACAAAATTCTCTCTCTATTTCCACCAGTGTGCATTCATCTTTTGGAACCAAAGAAAGCCAAACTAACAACCAAACTAAAGTTTCATCACTTTGGAGACCTACAGTCCTCTTGAAGGGCAAACAACATGAGCCCAATACCGAAAGCTAATGAGCCTGGCAACAACCCCCAGTCAACAAAGGAGGCAGAGGACGAGTTGGAGCCACCACCCCAGGACTACAACTCAGTCTTGAATGCAGGTTTGACCTTCTTTACATCTTATTTATACAGTATACATCAGGGGCGCTGGTCCGAGGATAAGGGGGTGGGGGGGGGGGGGAGAGGTAAGGAGTTCTTTTTTTGGCTTTTTTGTGCTTAATTCGTGAGAAAATATTCAGCCGCGAATCAGCCAGCTGGTGAATAAGTGGGGGGGGTCATAGAAAAAACACAGATTTAAGGGAGGCAGAGGACGAGTTGGAGCCACCACCCCAGGACTACAACTCAGTCTTGAATGCAGGTTTGACCTTCTTTACATCTTATTTATACAGTATACATCAGGGGCGCTGGTCCGAGGATAAGGGGGTGGGGGGAGGGGAGAGGTAAGGAGTTCTTTTTTTGGCTTTTTTGTGCTTAATCCGTGAGAAAATATTCAGCCGCGAATCAGCCAGCTGGTGAATAAGTGGGGGGGGGGGGGGGGTCATAGAAAAAACACAGATTTAAGGGTGTCGTTTCTTTAAAATTCTAAAACCCACAGAGCACCCCCCCCCCTCAATACCCCGTTGATTTTCACCTTTTGTTTTTGACTTGACATTTCCTTGGATTATATTAAACTAGTTTTGACTCTTATGATTATTTGCAGGTGATATGAGCAGCGAGGAGGAAGACAGTGATGATGGTGGAGGAGCAGAGACAGGGGGAGGTGCTCAGTATGGGGGTTATCAACTTTTGATGCAGGACCAAGAGGTATGAATAGTCATTTTCTTGTCTTGCCCATGTTCAAACCAATGCAGGTTGCCTGTTCATTTATGGTTGTTAGCTTGTTACCCAGGCCTGATAATTACCTGATTTAAAATGGTTCACCAGATTATTCTTTTTTTATTTCCCAATTTTTTAAATTTTGTTTTTTCCCCAATTTTTTTCCTTCTCCCCCCCCCACCCCCCCCCCTGATTTTTCCCTTATTTTCCCAGTTTTCCCTATTTCCCCCCAATTTTCTTACTCAAAAGGGGGGAATGTTGTTAGATGCAATTCCCCCCCCCCCCCCAATTCCTTTTTCTTTCTTTTTTTACTCAAGGGGAGGGTGGTTGAGAAAGAAGGAAACAAAATTCCTTTTTTAGTGCTCACTATCACCCCTGGTTACCTAGTAACAATCAATGTATGCAATTCAAAAATTCTGCCTGACATACGATTATTTGTAATTGGTGAATGAAATCATTTGTAAAAGTCACTTAACAAAGATTTATGCATTATATATGAATACATTACAAAAAAGATCTACTGTGTCATTACCCTGTAGCATGATGATGATGAAGCTGAAGATGAGGATGACAAAGAGACAGCTTCAGCACAACCCAAACCGAGTGCTGCCACAGGAAGCCTGGATGATGAGCTTGAAAAAGACATGCCTCATGCAGCATATTCCCAGTACAGTGAAACCTGCACAAGCACAGACCCCACCAAGCCTAACCTCCCCATTCATCTTGCCAAACTCCTTCCTTCGGCCACCCCCGCCCCAGACGCTGCTAGCCAGGTCGCACACACCGATACACAACAGACACTGGAGCAGAGGAAAGAAGGGATGGCCGCGGATGACCAGATCCGAGCTGCTATGGCCGGGATATCTTTACCGACAGCAGCCATCCCGACCTGGGCAAGGGCCGTGGATGAGAGCAACTGGAAAGAGCAGTTGGTTGCTAGGATACAATGTAAGCATGAGAAACAGCCGCTTAGGCCTGGGAATGCAGCTCAGGCGAAAGGAACTGGTACAAAAAGATGATTTAGATGCAATATCCACAGTGAACATTTGTACTCCTGGGTATGGTTTGAACAGGTTTGATTGTTAACCCATTGCCTACAGGAACTGAGTGGATCCTACATTCAGTCTATGGGACTGAGGGAATTCCACAGGCAACAGGTTAAGAGTGACTGTGATTTATATGGCCAAATCTGTGATCTCAAAGTCTGCTGGCATGTCTTGTGTTTTCCCCAAGAAACAAAAATGTATGTATACAGTAGGCTTGTGGTAGCACCATGTGAGAGAGAGGGAGGATTGGGGAGTCCTGAAAAGCACTCTTGGTAATCTTTCTTGAGTGTTTGTTAAGAGTGACTGTGATTTATATAGCCATCTCTGTGATCTCAAAGTCTGCTGGCATGGCTACTGGCTAGTGTTTCCCCAAAGAAATAAAAATGTATATATTACAACAAGTAAAGCAAAGAGGAGCTTCCTAAGATCCTCTGCTGCAACCATGGCTTGTTTATAAAACAACTCTTTTCCATTCCTCACCAAAGAATATGATGATTAATGCTTGACCCTGTTATTGACCCCATATTAGATGGTGTTGTTAAAAGTGGTATGAGACATGTCAAGTGAAATTTAGGTCTAATTGTGACTGTCCACAGAGTTCAGTGATGCAATCAAGACTTGGGAATCCTTAGGCGGAAACTAACAAACAGACTTTGGTGACATTAGTTTTGCATTATGTGTCCAGGTCAGAACAGAGATATCTAATGCAAAACTTAAGATCTGCCATGGGTGCAATCAGTCCTGATCAGTGTTGTAATATCTCGGTTATCTGATTTTTGTTTTCCTTTATTCAACTCTTGTGCGTGTGTATTGGGTTTTTACAGACGTGTATCAATCAGATATGATTATTTACGTCTGGGGACCGACCTTAAAACGTCGCCATCCAAAAGATGTGACTCAGTTTCGAGCCTGCGTCCTAGCTGAATCAGTTTGTAACTTCCACTGGTAGCTGGATTACAGGCGCACCCAAAAACGCCTAGTTAAACTTGTTAAACTTGGTGTTTTATTCAAACTATTTTGTTGATTTAAGACACCTGAAGCTAAATGAAGCCCAACTGTGAAGAAAATGGGCTAAAATTTTACACAGATGTATTCTTCAGTAGCATCTTACAACAAATTTGAGTAACATACAATTTCAGAGGTCTTTATAATCATTTTTTTTTTTTAATTCTCACGGACAGAGAGAGAGCAAAAGAGAAAGTGAAAGAAATGAGCACCACTTGTCCTAGTGCTTTCATTCTTGATGGCAAGGCCATTGGTTTTGTAGGAAATCAAATGTACATGTATGTATATTGTATAGACGGGAATCAGTAATGCCAATTTTTTTTTGATGATTGTCTTTTCCTTGCCTCTGTTATCATATAGTATGGTGGTTTTATACAAATAACATACAATGCATATTCCCTCTGTACATTGTATATTGTAATTAGTTTCTAATGAGAAGCAGAAAACCCATACCACATAACAGGTTTTCAATTTCCATGTTCATTCTTAAAATACCTAAAGGACTGCTGGGCTTTATTTAGAGCTGGGAGTCACACCAGGCCTGGTCACTAAAACCTTCTGGTTTAGTATTCAGGTCCTCTTCCAGTCCAGGGGGTGTTACACAAAGACTAAGATCAAATATAAGTTGGACTTAACTATTGCAGGCCGTTATTGATCTCTGAAGGGACAGACAAAACATGCCCACAAATCTACAGAATTTACATTTTTTATTATTCATTATTGAAGAAAACAAATTTATCCAAGATCATAATGGTGAGAGCAAACAGTTGCATGAACTGTCTGCCATAGTTAAATCCAACTTAAAGTCGATCTTAGTCTTTGTAAAACACTCCCCAGGCTTTTTTTCCATAAGTTCTAGCATTAGCTTGATGCAAAACTCAAAACCTCTCTGTGATAGTACATTGTTTTTAATTATGAATAGAACATTCTTGAAATCAGTAAGTGCATTTCTCGCTTCCAACAGCATTATTGAATGATTGCCAAGACATTTGTGCCAGGTTTGAATTTGAAATCTTTCAGTTAAACACCAAGTGAATACCACTATGCCACTATTATATAATCGTAAATGTAATGTTGATTAGTCATAGTGAAACTGCATTCCATCTCAGACAGAACTTCCCATCAGTCGTTCTGATTTGCTTTAAGATGGCGTAGTGAATGGGACGCTCATCTATAATAGTCACCTCAAGTATAGAGTTTTGCTATCCATTCATTATAATTTCAGTTGCATAAACTAAAATATAAAGAAAAAAAATCAAAGAACTTCAAATTTTACCACAAATTCTTATCTACATGTATGGGCTGTATGAGATGCAAAATAGATGCTAAAATCTGTATTCTGTCGCCTATCAGAAATTAGACCACGGCTGTCATTTCTTTGCAAGTAAAGTGCATTGTAAAGTATACAAAAATGATTGCAGTAGTCTGTGTTGAAAGATTGTACACATATTCTTGGGCATATATTGGCAACAACGATGGAAAAGAAAAAAATTGTTGCTCCCTTTATCTTGACACATTTTTGTATCTACAAATTTTGCACCATTTTGATTTTGCCTATTGAACAGAGAAACGTATATGAGAAGGACAGCATTCAAGGTACATGTATATTGGTTGGAGCAACTCATATGTTGCATGAAGATTTATACCAGAATAAATTCGAAATCAGAGATAGCTATTAGCTAGCTATTTGCATCATGCCCTTAAAATGTGACTTCAGTTCAGAATTGAAGAAAAATGCATTCCACATGAAAATCTGTGATCTCTATTGAGATAAAAACTTCTCAGAAGTGATCATGTATTTGTTAAATTCAAGTTGTTGTTTTTTCACTCGTCCAGTCAGTATTTGATGCAAGTCCATTTTTAACCTCCCAAGCATTTATGAATTTGACTGCTCTCTGGATATGATTAAAATGTCACTGCCCATTTTATACCATTTTGTAGAGGTTTCGTGGTAGGGTGGATATGTCATCGGAATGTCGATCTCAAGGTCCGTGGTTCAAGTCCCACCGCGGCACTAATGTCCTTTGGCAAGACATTGATCTACATTTGTCACTCTCCACCCAGGTGTTAAAGGTAAAGACCAGTATTGGAAACGCCCTAATTTCAAAAAATGAAATGGAAGCTCTCATTACCAATCATGTGAAAGAATATGTTTTGACTAATACACGATGATAACAAATTTGCCGGGAAACCGCCTACTAATTCATATATTTGGTAAATTTGTTTCTCTCATGGTCCGTGAGAGATATAGGGTAGTCCCATATGCATCTTTCTGTGTATAGTGCTTGTAACTTTACGAAGAATGGGCCAAATTTCTTATCATTTTGATGATTCCAGAACCTTGCAGATGCTAGATGCTAGATGATCAACCTTTTCTGATCGATTCCACAACGTTTCTTTCACAATGCAATCGCATGACCATAACTGGTCTTTACCTTTAATGGGTACCCGGTAGGATGCGAAAGTTTAATGTGGCTAGATGAGCAAGTGTGCGCTTGTAAAAATGACGCCTGGCTGGGATGCCCCCCAGGGAGTGGAGAATGTCCATACATTGTGTGATTGTGTGTGGGTAAGCCTGAATCCGATGACCGGGTAATAATATATATCTGTAAAGCGCATTGAGAAGGGCCTGCAGACCTGAACAACGCTAAAAAAAAAGAATTAACTGTTATTATTATAATAAGGCATGCTGTGTGAATTTGAATTATCGTTTGCCCTAAAAATCAAGTGGAATGCTAATAAGGCCTATAAAAAGATGTTGTATTGCCCTTTGCGACCGACCCGAAAATCTTGAAATCTCGGTCGGCTTTTAAATTTTATTTTATTGTTTACCGTTTTTTAGAGAAAAAAATGTATTAACTTCAAAACTGGGAAATATCAGCCTAAAGACTGAGGGAGTAAAAAAAAAAGTATTAAAAAAAATAAAAAATTACCATCGACCCATGTTTTGGCACCTAAAGGGCAATACACATCTTTTTTGTTAGGCTTAAAGGCAAATTGCATGCTGATCCTGATGAGCAATCAAACAACTGTGCATCAGTATTGATGAATTAGACCGGGAAAACTTAAATCATTTTATTTCAAAGAGACCAGTATTTTTGTAAAGGTCATGATCAATCCACTGCATATTCATAAATATTTGTTGTGATATGATACATGTATATTTCAAATTTGTATTTGTATATATAGATGTACTTGTATAAAACTAGCTTTTTGAAGGCAACTGATAAACATTAAGCCAGTGGCATTGTGATGTTATTCAATGAGACAAAACCAATGCTTTGGGATGGTCTCAACAGCTAAATTTTCTGTATGTGAAATACAGTGTGAGTCTAATGGGGCGGGAAAGTTGCAATCAATTACAAATTTCAAAAATCAAGCGTAAGTCTTGCAGTTGATCGCAACTCAACTTTCTTGCAACGCCCCATTAGTAAGAAAGAGAAAGAGAGAGAGAGAGAGGGGAGAATAAAAGCTAGATCTAATTAACTCAATTTAATTGTTAAAACTCTAATCCCCCCAAAACCCTAGGAAATTTAGGAGACTAGTGGGGCGTTGCAAGAAACTTGAGTTGCAATCGATTGCAAATATCAGTTGCAGATTTTGCAACTTGCAATCAATCGCAACTTTCTTGCAATGCCCCATAAGGCCTAACAAAAAAGGTGTTGTATTGCCCTTAAGGTACCAAAACATGTGTTAGTCGGTCGGAAATCTTTGTTTTTGTTAAGGCCTAAGAATGTTTATATTCAAAAAGCTAATATAGAATGTATTTTACGGAGATTAATATTGTTCATTAAACTATTGATATACATGTATATGGATTTGTGTTGCACTTGTAATAATGGTGTCGGTATCTTCGCGGTATAGTACGTTCAGATGAGAGAGATATTGGGAGAAAGAGAGAAAGGAAGAGAGAGATAGAGCGAGGGGTGTAGAACGACAGACATTTCATTCCATTTAGGTGCCAACAACGCGTGGATCGGGGGAGGGGGCGAAAGGCCCTTGCCCCCTCTCCCTCCCCCCTCCCCCAGCAAACCTAAATGAGAGAGTAGGAAGGGAAGGAAAAGGGAAAGAGGAGAGAAAGGGAAAGAAAAAAAGAGAAATAATTAAAGGTACAGGAGATCAGTTGCAATTTTCCCCGCCAACAAGGTGTAGATTGGGGGGGGGGGACTTCAAATATTAAACGTGGTTTATTTTTCTAATTCGAAACCGGTGATTTACAAATGTTGGTGAAATGACATAATTTTTCGAGATTTTTTCTCTCACTTTTAAATAGATTATACTTTTTATGCATCTGTTGGAAAATGACAAATTCCTAAATTTACAGTCAGGCAAGAAATATGCTTATTTAGAGGCCTACATATCAGGGCCCGCGGAACGGCGGGGATCGAGGGCCTCGAGTCCCCAATTTTTTTTGAAAAGTATATTAAAGAGAAATAGAAATAAAAGAGAGAAGAAAGAAGAATTATTGACCTGCCAGTGTTGCAAAATAATGAGATATCAAAATATGCTCATCTGACCGTGATTAAATGCCTGAAACCCCTGAGCTTCTAGGGGCAACGCCCCTTGGACCCCACGCCAATTAGTGTCCTGCCAGTGTCACAAATAGGGTATTAAAAAACTGCTCATCTAACCGTAATTAAACGCCTAAAACCCCTGAGCTTCAGAGGTTTTGCCCCCTGGACCCAACCTAAGCCTGACCCCTGGGTGCTCATATGATCATAAGTTATTGCCTAAAACTCTTGAGCTTCCGGAAGCTCCGCCCCTGGACCCCACACCAATAAGTGATCTGAAAGTGTCACAAATAAGGTATCAAAATATGCTCGTCTGACCGTAATTAAATGCCCAGACCCCCTGAGCTTCCGGGGGTTCCACCCCTAGACCCCACTCCAATTTACGCTACGCTCTACCTGATCGTAAATACTTTAGTCTCCCTCCACCCACTTTAAAAAGAACGTTCAGCGGAGCCTGCATGTAAGAGTGGGGTGATGCGGATCAAAAAAACGTTTTTGCTCTTTACGCCACTGCTGGTTGCCATTACGTACTAATATTTGGCTCGCATAATTTCAAATTTGCCCCCCCCCCCCCCAAAGAAATCCTGGATCCGCGCCATGAGTAGAATACAAGTATGTTCCTAGAAATTCCAGCAGAATTTAGTCAATGGCAATAACTTTCTTCTTCATCTGAATTATAAATTATCTTTGTTTCATCATAATAGTCTTTGCTTTATTCATTCACATATCAATACAATATTAGTGACCGGTGTCATAATACTGTCAATACTGTCATCTTAGCAGAAAACAGTTCAAGGATGGTATATGAAAACAAAATGACTAAAAGTATTTTATTCCATAATTTATTCATCACCAATGTTTGTATAACATAGCATAATGTATTCTCTTTGTGCCATGTTTTTTTCTTAATTTTTGAACGCGATCTATCCGGCAGTAAAATAAATAAGTTTGCTTGGAAAATATCACTGAGTTTGATTACAATATGCTTAAAGTAATCTGACAATACCAGCCTGGATAATGGTCTGAGCCCCCTCACTTTTTGAAAAAGTATGTTACAGAGAAAAAGAAACGAAGAGAGAGGGAGAAAAAATAAGTGACCTGCCAATGTCACAAATGAGGTATCAAAATGTGCTCATCTGACCGTAATTAAATGCCTAAAACCCCCGAGCTTTCGGGGCTCTGCCCCCTGGACCCCACCAAGGGACCTAAGGCGGTTCCCTGGATGCTCATCTGACCGTAAGCCCCGAGCTTCCGGGGCTCTGCCCTCTGGACCCCACCAAGGGCCCTAAGACGGCCCCTTGATGCTCATCTGACCGTAATTAAATACCTTAAAACCCCTGAGCTCCCGTGGGCTCTGCCCCCTAGACCCCACAAAGGGCCCTAAGACGGCCCCTGGGGCCAGGAAATCGAGCTTACGATTTGTTGATGTTCTAATTACGTATGCATTCTTTAATCATGTGAACTTGCTCTCGATTGATGGAAATAAACCTTAGCTCATATTTTTTGCAACTGATGGCTAAATTATATAAGATGTAGTTTCAGTGCTCACTACCCCCCCCCCCCCCCCTCCTCCCCCCCCCCCCCCCACTCCTCCCCCCACAGAGCGAATTCTCGACCGGCGCGATTTTCAAATTTTAGGGAGCCAAAAAAAAATATTGCTCACTTTAAGACTCAAAGAAAAGGAAAGCTTGTAACATATGAATATCCTTGGACTTACGACTCAAAGTAAAGGAACAATTGTACCAACTTTTTTTTAGCAGATGTTTCTGCATTTATTGATAATAATAATAGTATATAATATAATTGATTTACATAAAGAGTGACAACTTTAAATACACACACATACAAATGCATATATATATATATATATATGATTGAAAGCTTGAAAGTATAGAGGTAAGTAAAAATAATCAATATAAATGCAGAGGCCAACTATCATAGGCAAGAATGCTTGAGTAGATAGCAGCCGGGAAGGGGGTACATGGCGCTGTTATAGGAGTATGTAGGGGAATAGAGTGTCACGTACAAAGATTTGTTCAGAAAGTATTTGAATAAAAAGTTGAAAGAAATTAAAGAAACAAACAAACAAAATTGCAAGTGTGTGCAAGTGGATGTGTGCAGGTGAAGAAAGTGTTCGATTCGTATTGTTAATGAACTGGTCATCTAAAATTAATTTATATAAACAAACAATCAAAACCTCTAAGACCCTTATAACGTTTTTGAATATGTAGATATTAAACATTTTTTCATCGATGCTTTGAATGAATGTGGAAATCGAATGAGTGTCGTGTAGGATAAGAATGTATATCACTATTGTAAACAAAAATATTTCGAAATGCCAAAGGTATAGTATTTATTCAAAATTTAAACATAAAGATTGCAGTTTGAAAATTGTGAATGTCAGCGATTTGCAATGTTTTTAGTTTACAAAATATTGGATAAGTATGGGCTAAATAATGTGAATGTGTACAAAGAAAAAGACTGGCTATTCTACTTCTCAACTTAAATACAAGATCCTCCGACTTACGACACAAAAGGAACGCTTGTACCATCTGAAAGTTGACATTCTACTTCTCAACTTAAATACGAGATCATTGGACTTACGACACAAAGAAAAGTATTGGCCCGAATTCACAAAGGAGGTTTGTCGACAAACCTTGGTTTTCGTACGTCATATGACGCGTTTTAAAAATTCATAACCTCCTTATTAGTTATCCGATTTTACTCAAACTTTTTTGGATAGGTTTGCCCTTGTTCCTTAAAAGGAAAGTCTACCCCGATAATAAGTCGGGTTTTTTTCGGGGGGTAATTGTCCTCGGGGTGAGGGTGATTGTCAAAGAGGGTAATTTTAAGTGGGATTAATTGTCCTCGGGTGATAATTGTCCTTTGGGGTAATTGTCCTCGGAGCTGGTTGTCCTGGGGGGGGGGGGGGGGGGATTGTCTCGATGGTCATTGGTCGGGGTAACAGTCCTTGGAGTGGTTGTCCTTGGGGGGGGGGTAATTGTCTCGATGGTCATTGGTCAGGGTAACATTCCTCGGGGTGGTTGTCCTGGGGGGGGGGGTAATTGTCTCGTTGGTAATTGGTCGGGGTAACAGTCCTCGGGTGGTTGTCCTTGGGGGGGGGGGAGGGTAATTGTCTCGTTGATAATTGGTCGGGGGTAATCGTCCTAGAACCGATCTTACCTCTCCAATACATTTTTACATCCTTATTACTATGCAAAAAGGAAACACACATAATCCTATATCTAAATAAGGAAATTGTGAACTTATACGTAATTTAAATATAAATCATGTACCTCATCATTCGTTTTTATAATTGCGCACCTTATGTGCAGCCTTAAAGAACTCTCAATCTACACGGCTAGCATTATAGTATCTAGCCTACTTCCAATATATATAGGCCTACATTTGTAAACAAATTAGGCAACATTCTAATGATTACATTCAAGTTCGTGTATCATAAGAATGTACTTAATTCAATATGGAAAGAAAAACGGATACAATATTAAAATGTGTTAGAATTAAGCTCATGGTTTTGTCAAACCAAATTTTATATCCATCTGGGTGGAAATCACTAAGTTTGGATCTTTATAGTAAGGGTTTGCCTTACTTTTGATATTTACGAATTGGAAATACGATTGTTCATGGTAACAGAGATCTAGAGGTCTGGAAGGGAAATCATCGAATTGCCCACTTGAAACGCATCTTCATAGAGAGAACGATGTAAGCCAGTACATGATACCCGACGAGTTGACACAGAATGTACGTCATGTCCTTGTTGAATGCGTTCTATATAGAATGAAATGGGGAGAAAAAACATTTTATACTACCGGCTGTGTAAATCACTCTCTTTCTATCTCTCTGTGTATCTCTCTCCCCTGTCTCTGTCCGTCTCTCTCTCTCTCTCTCTCTCTCTCTCTCTCTCTCTCCTTTCTTTCTTCTTTCTCTCACTCACTCCCAAAAATACAAATAAAGAAAATGGAAGTAAAGAGAGAAAGGGAACATAGGAAAAGGGCACAGGGTAAAGAACGGGGAATAACCACCTCTCGCATTCCATGTTTACGAGTAAGACCGGTGCCCCCCCCCCTTCCCATTATTCAAGTGCCTCCTTTATATGGATGGACTCACGCTACTACACTGTAAACCTTCGTGTTCATTTCAAGAAAATATCACTCACCTGGGAAAGCTCCCAGTGTCTCAAAACTCCCTCTCCATCTTCAAACAGGCACAGTTTACCGTCGCACTCTATATCAAGATTGGAACAAAATGATTTATGCGATACAATAATTATGTTTGAACGAAATTAATGTTATTTATTAATCGCAATTTTATGCATTGCTACGTATCGTCGGTTTGGAACCAAAAGGGCATTACTTTTTAAACTTTTACCCAGAGTTAAAACTCTTCTGGCTCCGAACAGACGATATATGTTGAGAAGGCTTTAAAATATTCCACGATTACAAAAGCTGAACCATAATTTTTAAAGCACCTTTTTTCAGAAAAGTGGGGCAGGGGCGTAGTAAACAAATTATTCTACAAAATTAATATCCAAGTGAAAATGTCATCACAAAAAAAGCAACGAAGAAAAAGGAAATAGAGGCCTACAATGTATATTACAAGGATAAGTAGGCTCCTCCAATATGAAGTGGCAACTGCCCTAATAAGGGTTTGTGATTGCCTCAATTGTTGTCATTTTAACATTCGTGGGGGCTGCAACCTTTAGCCCCCCCCCCCCCCCCCCTTCTCTGTTACTAATATATTTGGTATTTTCTAACTGTCGTATCTATACATTGATGAAATAACCCAATTTCATAACTTTCCGACAGGTTAATGGTTCGGGTTAAGTGAGTCAGAACTTACCTATACCAGAAACACCCTTCCATTGGTTGATAGACAGCAATTCGTATCCCATGGCAGCCAATTAATGGCGAGAATCGGAGCCAGAAACCGGGGCATAGACCTGTTAATCAAATCATTTTTTTTTTAGTTTTTTAATGGGTAGAGGAAAGACATGTGAAAAATGATGCGGCTTTCAGTCCGGAGTATCAATAACAGACTTTTATTATTTATACCCGTCTACCGTTATAATTATTGACCTTAGAAAGATCAGGGAGATGACATGACTACCTTCGATTATATCGTTTCGGCGGATAACTTTTAAAAACTTCAAAATGTTGTGTAAGTCAATAAGAGAGACAATATAAACATAGTAACTATTTTTTAGCATGAATGATCATAATTGTTCCCGTAGATAATTTCCAGGAACGTCAAAATGTTGCGTAATAAATAAGAGACAAAATACAAACATTATTAACTTTTTTTTAATAGCATGAACTTGATGGATGATGTGAGAGAAGGATTAGAATTATCATAATTACAAACAAACCGCAGGGTTCGTTACAAACCTACCCCAGGGTACAGAAGTATCCCCCGGTTACATTGGACAAGATCACACAAGGGATTGCATTCGAGACGGTCTTACCCGGAGCCTCACAGATAGCAGATATCAAGGCATCTATCGATACAAATAAATAACAAAATAAAAGACAACAAAAACAGCAACGATAACAACGAATATCATCATTTGTTTCCTAGTTATTATAAAACTGACACATATCAGAAATATTATTACATGGCTGTAACGATTAAATTCATATGCATGTAGGTTAATAAATGGCAAATATTATTTGATCAACGTCAAGAAGAAAAAAAAGTGATCATGTTCATGGTAGAACCCGTCTTTTACTTTGATTATTTGACTCTTAATTAAGTCACCCCGTCAATTGCAGTTTTTAGCAGTTAATGACTTTCTCAACATGCTTGATAAAACCAACAACAGAATTTCACTTGGGGACTAATGGTTCATAGCTACAGTTGGGCCAAAAGGTATACACATGGTGAAAAATAGTTTTTCCCATATTAAAAAATAAAAAAACACAGAGTAGACTAAAGATTTCCCACCCCCTCCCCCTCCCCCCCCCCAAAAAAAAGACTGGGCCCACGCTTCGACACTGGACCCAAATCAATTATGAACCCAGATTATGTTTTGAGTTGACTGCTTCATTTACTTCATGAAGTGCTGACGCCATCAATCTCCTGAAGTGAGGCAGGACCACTTGATGCAAAATACCCCCATTACCCGAAGCTGCCAACTCCATACTGTGTTGTTAGGGTTGAAGGCCTCTTCTTTCCGTCGTTAAGCATAACGTTGAAGATCACTGTGGCCAAAGAGTTCGATCTTGGTCTCGTCTGTCCTCCCACCTCCCTGGTCTGACCAGAGGATTGTCGCCCAGAAGTCCTTGTCTTTTTGGAAGAGTTCATTAGCAAAAATAATTCGGGCTTTGCGATGATGGTCCTGGAGAAGAGGATTCTTTCTATCTCAAAAGAATTTTAGTCCATGATCGCGGTGGACCCTCAGTACAGTATAGTGGACAACACCTTGGATCCTCAAGCCTTCAAAGTTTGTCGAACATCATCCTTGTGTTTAACTGCACTTTGCAGACAAGTATACGTTCTGTTGGAGTGAGCTTCCGGTTTCTACTCGACCTTGATAGAGTGTACTGTCCCAATTAACATTGTACTTGCGTATGATGGTTTGTACAGATGACCTAGGTATGATGAGAGTCTTCGATATCCCCCCCCCCCCCTCAACGAAGAACCTGCCTTGCGCAAGTCAATAGCACGCTTCAGGATATCCTTGCTATATACTCCTAGTACTTTCCCATGACACCATGTTTGCAATGCTCTTGGACATGTATTAATTAATGTGAACCCTTTTCAATTACGACAATGGTATTCTCATTCTTTCACCTCCTTGCATTTTGTAATGATAAAATTTGAACACTGCTTCAAATGTATAGAGATTTGCATTAATTTGAATTAATTATTATGATTATGGGAATGACATGTTGTCAAATCACATTCTTAAGTAATTTTCACATCACTCATTTAAGTAAAATGCCTTAATAATTTTTAGAAACATAAATTTCTAAAGCCTAATTTAGAAGTCGTAACAAGGGGTTGTATGTAAAACTTTAGAACCTTTGATTTTCTGGAGAAGAAAAACTGTTATAAACTATATATATGTTTCAAAGTGAATATAAATTTATGAAATATAAACTAAGTATATTAGGGAGCATATCCGGACACCTACCCCTTGGACATCCATCTCCCGGATAACCACCCCCAGTCAACTACCCCCTAGGGCAACCACCCTCTAGGACGACTAACCCCAGGACAATTACTCCCCGGACAACTAACCCCTAGGACAACTACCCCCGGACAACTACCCCTTAGGACAACTACCCCCTAGGATAGTTTTCCGGGGGTTGTTGTCCTAGAGGATGATTGTCGTAGGGGGTAGTTGTCTGTGGGAAGTTGTCCGGTGGTAGTTGTCCTAGGGGGGGGGGGGTAGTTGACTGGGGTGGTTATCCGGGGTGGATGTCCAGGGGGTAGGTGTCCTATAGATCCATTAGGGAGATACCCAACTTGTCTGTTCTCATGAGGAGAATAGTTGACCGGAATGTGTGAAGTTGTAAACAAAAATATGAGGACAACTTTTGTCAATGAAACCTTTTGGGCCCAACTGTATATATTTGTATTTGTATTTATTAACATTTATTTCCTTCTCAACAGCACAATATAAACACAATGTATATATATATATATATATATGACGCTGAATTACATACATTATAATGACAAGGTTCTCACCGAATCCGACGTTGATTAGGTAGATGATGATGAGAACTGCAAGATTGATGAAGAAACTGCTAGGATCTCTCTTGAGGCCAACCACGAAATAGATTGATGACACGGAGCCGATCATGAAGATTGTACCAACGATGCTCTTAAAAACAATCATTAAGAAAGAGCATTTAAATATCGGAGGTTGAGGATGGAGATGACAATGTCAGGATGATGTGCTTTGAACACGAGCGCAAGGCAAAGACTTAAACAAAATCAACATAATGCAAGATCAAAGGCCTTGTCTATCACCTATTGGAAAGTAGTAGTCAATGTACGAACATAAGAAGGACGTATTACGTAATCAAACATATATCCATGCCGTTTCTTACTCAACCAACCTGAACGAGGAAGGTAGTGATGTAATATGCACTCAGCTGATATAGGCCATCCTGGTGCTCTCGAATAAGTAGCGGTAGATCCTTCGGCAGAACCTGGTGGTAAAAAACAAAATTCCAGAAATTCTGATCAAGAATATTCGTAGCCAGGATTCAACTCGTACGTAGATGATAGATCCTTACGTCTGGTCACAGCCATAACAGGGTTCAAATGTCAACACGAACGCCCCCCCCCCCCCCCCCTCCTCATAATTACGTTTTTATAGACGTGTATCTGTCAAAAATTGATTCAGGTTTTTGGAACTGACCTATCTGAAAGACGTTATTCAGTTTCGTAAAGGGGTCCGTTAAAGTAAGTTTCTAGGTGAAAACAAATAGCTTTATAGGCTTACCACTGACGGTTCCACTAGACCAACTCACATCAGCCTAAATAATGAAACATTACGAATGAATTCCTTAAGCTATATTAAGAATAATAAATTGCATAGTCCAGATTGGGGATAATGTCCCCCTCCCTTTGGCTGATTTTCTGCACGTCCCCCAAATATTAACGTGTTTTTAAACGTTTTTTTTTCCCGGGGCGGGGGGCCGGGCCGAGAGAGGAGATCACAGAGAAAATTAAATAGGATGGGTACTACCATAGAAACCATATACATATTGGAAAAATAGGGGCGTTGCAAATAATTGGGCTGTCGGGAACAATATGGATAAAATAAAGCATCGTTTACCGCAAGCACTAGGAGTGAATTCCAGATGATGAAGAAGGATGCAAGGAGAAAGAGAAGACCCTGGATGTTGTTAGCACGAGATACAGTGTAGGTCTCCTCCAGGTGCACGTAGGACATCTGAATTAACACACATGCCACCTGTTCGGGGAAGACAACAAATATAAACCGAAACAAACAGAGAAAGGTGGTGTTATACCCTAGTCACACAGAGACGACCGACCCCAGACCCAATAATACATAGAATAAAAATGTACATTTTCGCGAACGGTCGGTTTGCAGTCGGCCTTAGCTGCGGCGTGACTGAGGTATAACGGTTACCCAATTAGTAACAATGAAGAGTCACCATTATTTCGATGATATGGGATAGTCTACACGACAGTAATGCAGGCTGTAGGTTTATCTCGTAAGAATACGAACTTTCCTGTCAATTCCCCGAGGATAGTTCTTTCATTACAGTTAGAAAGCTTTCATATACAAAGAGGCCTATAAGAATGACAAAAGCAATCTGAGAAAATCGAAACAGTTTCGTATATCTGAGGTATAAAATCTGTTCACCCCTGCCGTCTGTTGTGTATTAATTATATACAAAATAAAAACAATATACAAACTATGACATTTCGTACTTGGACTGAACAAATAATGTTATCAACATGCTTCAAAAGTATAACAATTATTGTTTGAAGTTATAATTAAAATATTACCTCCTTTGAGAGTTCAAGTTTTCCTAATTTCTTCCATTGCTTGTTAAAGACATGATGGTGAAAAAATAACATATAGAGTTGATCTTTCCCTTACGAAGGACATAGAATCGGAAAAGCCGTTGAGGATAGAAAAAGAAACAAGAATTACGCACAACCTTTTCTTTAGCAAGGTTGTCTGGGGAGGGCTGGTGGAATTCCGGAAGCCATGTTCGTCAACAAATACGACACAATCTTTTTTTTGTCCTTCTTCTCCTCCTCTCCCCCCCCCTTTTTTTTTCTTCTTTTGTTCGATCCAACATGGGTTTGGCCCCTAACTTTAAAGTATTTACATCAAGTCATAGGGCGGAGACTTACCCCTATGAGTATGATACGGAGAATGTTGAGTTTAGGATCACGCGAAACACCCACTGAACTTCGCCAGAAAAGATAGACGAACTGTTTAAACCAAGGCAGCTGACTGATTTGAAAATAATGAAGGTTAAACATCAGCGGTTCATCAGTAGTCAATAGGTAATTTGTCAAGTAATTCTTGTCATAATTAGACGCATATCTTCTAATAACAATACAAAATAATAACAACTAAAAAAACAATGATAATAACTTTTAAATATTTACATCAAGTCATAATAACCCTTCTGTGACAAAATTAAATCAAATTAGAATTGCACTAACTGATTTTAATTGCTAATAAGATTATTGGGGGGGGGGAGTATCAGTGAACCTTCTTTTTATAATATTGAAGATGACTAAAACAAATGCAACAAACATTCCCAAAAGTTAAACCTGAACGTAGGTAAGTTTTATGTGTAACCCTGGGCCAGAAATAACAAAGTTATGTTTGCTTGCATTTCCATAATTTAACTAAATGAATTCGTTTTCACTGGCTGCGTGCCGTAGCAACAAACATAGTTGACAAAAGACTTAACTCCGTTTCGTCGCGATCAGCCATGCATGGAGTATATCGTCTTCTGTGTGCATGGCTGATCGTGAAATATGCATCATTATGAAAGAGGAGGATTTAGGCTTTACGAATATGTGTCATTTATTAATCATAATTGTGATTAAGTTATGATAAAACATCGATAATTCTGGGTTTCGCTTTTTTCTGGGAAGCACTGTATAATATGAAGATCGATGTCTAATGAGAACATGATAATGTACCCACGCGGTGACGTGGTTTTGGTGTCACAACGTAAATATGTTTAACCCTGTTTTCATATTCTGATAACAAACATGTGTGCTTTGTCATGTGTGTGCCTCTGCACAAGTGTGTGGTATTGAAACATTATAAGATGATGACGTGGATCCTAATCATAAGATTGGTTGAAAGCGTACACGTGACCAGGCATTTATATTGCCTAACGCGTAATTTGGATAATGACCGGTCATTATCCCATTCTAATGACCGGTCATTAGTAAAATCATGTTATAAAACATCATTTCATATGACAAATAAAACAAAATCTTATAAAACAAATAATAAACACAGTATTTTGTTCGGGCATGAGTGAAATTACACACACTCGGTACCTTCAAAACAGTCCAAACACCCTCAGCTACCGCCCCGGGCGTGTTAGGCTGTTCCAAAGATACCTTGTGTGGGTAATTCTCACTAATGCCCTCACTGCTGTGTATTATTTGTATAATAACCTGTAAATGTGAACATGATAAGTAAAATTAAAATCTTACCAGGTATCCGCGTCTTCTCTTATCAACGATTCCTGCAATACGAAAATATATTGAGATTAAGGACTGGTAGCCCTAGTTGTACAGACAGAACCGTCACATTTTGATGACCTAAAATCTCTCTTTTATCACCCCTTTTATGTTTTCGAAAGTAGAACAGACACTTTACTAACTTTAGGTCATGTGAAAAATGTTGTTGACCCATAATGTATCAAGCATGTCTTTCCAGTGGGAAAGGGTGATATATTGGATGTTTAGACAATGCCTTTTGCACACACACAAAACTATGATCATCGCATATAATTATAACTCATTTTGTATTATCCCATTTTTATCAAACTTTTCACTATTCATTCTTTTGTGTCTGGCCGAGCCAACTTTTTTTTTTTATTTGAGGAGGGTGAATTCCCTTCTAAACAAGCACCAAATAATGGTTCTGGCGCATGTTAAAAACGGGTAGACGCTAGGTTTTTATCTCCTGTTCTCAAAATGTTGCACTGGTTGCCAATCCACAAGCGCATAAAATTCAAAGTCCTTCTCCTCGCATGAAAGACTGTAAATGGATCGGCACCAAACTATTTACAAAACCTTGTTATGCCTTATACACCAGCTCGTAGTCTTAGATCATTACACCAGCATCTTCTTTAGATCCCCAAGACGCGAACAGTCTGTGGTGAGAGGGCCTTTTCAGCTGCAGCACCTTCTCTTTGGAATAATTTACCATTAAATTTGAGAATCATAACTTCTTTAGAGACCTTTAAATCCAAAGTGATTTTTTTTTTTTTAAAGCAATACCTGTACTTGGCACTATGACACTCATCCAAACTCTCTCATTCTTTCTATTTTTTCATTCCAAATACATTTCTCCCCTTTCTCTCGCTCTCTCTCTCTGTCTCTCTCTCTCTCTGTCTGTCTCTCTCTGCTCTATCTCTCTCTCTCTCTCTCTTGCTCTCTCTCTCTCCTTCTCAGACCCATTGGCCCGAATTGACAAAGGAGGTTTGTCGACAAACCTTGGTTTTCGTGCGTCATATGACGCGTTTTGACGCGTTTTTTTACAAACCTGGTTTGTAAAAACGCGTCGAAATGCGTCATAATTATGACGACGAAAACCAAGATTTGTCGACAAACCTCCTTTGTGAATTCGGGCCAATGACTCTTATCGACATTATTGAGTTTATGAGGGTGACTACTGTTTCCTTGTGTCTGTAAGATTAGTTGTTAGTTTTAATTATTACGTTTTTCACCCGGCCCCCCCACTCAGGTTTCGAAATGACCGCATGCGTGTTGCCAAAATGTCCGGTAAAGGGGTACTTTTCGTGCGACAAAGTCCGGCCCGAGAATTGTAAAAAAAGGGGTGTATTTGACTTTTCACCCGGAGATTTCTTTAAAAGGGGGGTGTTTTTTCTTTTTTTTTCTCTCATCTCTTTGGACTCCTGAGAAATTATTCCGAATTTAGGGGGGTACATTGAGCATTTTTCCTGATTTAGGGGGTCTCCAAGGCAGGAAAATCCCGCGAAAAGCCCGCGAAAAGCCCGCGAAAAGCCCGCGAAAGGGGGGTTCGGAAATGTTGGCAGTCCTCAGATAGGGGGTGCTTTCAAAAAGAGGGAACGAGCATATGCGTACCCTAAATAACACTGAGTGGGGGGGGGGGGGGCCGGGGTTTTTCACAACTTAGAATGATCATAAGATTTTTTTATTTGTACACTGAAATATGAAATCTCTGCCAAAGTGTATCAGTATCTTATTGATACCGTTGATGTTTAACATTCACTTCAAGCATTTTTTGAATTGTGCTATTTTTTTCTTGCTTTTTCAAAGAATGTATACAAGGAAGAGCAATACAAGTTTTCCATATAATATATCTGTGATATTCTTCCCCTAAAACACCTTGCACATAACAATAGTACAAACCTGAAGAAGATTTTAAAAAAAGTTACCTCATCTTTCCCCTTCCTTGCTTTTTCTAAGTCGTATTCTATCTTCGAAATTGTAGGGAAACATAATTCATCAAAAGTGTCAGCGATGTCCTTCAGAGATCAGTAAGAGAAAAGGATACAGGCATTTAAGAAATGACATACACCGTTTTAAAACATGCAAAGTTGTACATCTAATGCGTTGGAATCACTTAGCCGTTTAGAATTTGTGAAGTCTATGCATCAATTCGAAAATGAGTCTTTTTCTCTCCTTCTTATTACTAATAATCATGATGTAGTTTGCAAGTAAGTCGTTGTACGTAACGGTGTCTGTAATATGAGACTACATTTACCTGACAATAGGCTATGTACTTCGGCCGCTACCGTCAGGCGCGGATCCACGGGGGGGGGGGGGGCGACGGGCCCGCCCCCCTGGTAACAAAAAAAAAATTCTCACGAATTAGGCACCAAAAAAGGTGCTCTAAATTGGGTAATCAATGGAAATGGGCCTTTCGGGGGCGTAACCTTAACACAAATTAACATAACATATAGTTATATAACATATAGTTTTTAGAATACCACCCTTGACGTAAAATATGCTTATAAGAATTCTCGCAATCGATATCGCGTGACCGAGAATAGACACAATTAGTTCACGACCGCAATATTAAATCGGAAAAATCAAACCATACCATATGGTTTTTGTTTTTTTGTTCTTGGGTAAATGCATTTCCTCTATATGGCATTGTTTTAATTTGATGAATTGAGATTAAATTAATTTTCTGTAAATGTGCGGGTATGATTAATTAGGCCTACTACTAATATTAATTACACGTATATTTACTACAAATCCGGTCCATATAAATAGCTAACCCTGAATTGTACAATTAAAAAAGAAATGCATATAACAATACATAATAATACTATACCTACTTATTACAAGGGGGAAATGAAAGGCAATTAGGCATGGTAGATGTGGGGAATATATTACATTCTGTCTTTCTATCTATCTTGGTATCTTTTCAGTTCAAATAGGTTGATTACAACCTTGTTCCACACATCTTTGTCGTCCGCCCTCCTAGTAAATTCTTGCAGTGTCATTCCCCTCCGGGTCTTTAACCATTTTCGTGCGGGACATACTGTACGGAACTATACCCAATACATCAAGGATCTTTCCTATTTTTCTCTAGATAAAATAAACTGATAAAGGCTCATGCCTTATGGATTTAACCGGACTAAAAACAGCCTATGTCATTATACCGTCTCTGTATTATGATTTTTTTGACCGAATTAAATGTTTTTTGTTCTTACACTGAGGCGGGCCAGTAAAGCTTCCTCTTTACCAGGCTTAATGGCTAGGACGTCGATAAAGAAGTCCGCTGGCGAAAAGGTATCAGGGCAAGCATAACCGATATACGAGAAGTAGCCGACAGCCTCAGTTCTAGCGCCAAAATAAGCGCACCGGCCTTCTGCGAGTAGGAATAAACTGTTTAAAAGAAGATAACAAAAGGTTGAGTAACTTGTTAGATTTTACCTGTAACATTTTTACTCCTGACATTTTTACGTCTGCTATTTTACCCTTGAGGCTTGACATATTGACCTCTGACATTTTTTTAAACCGAACCATTTACTAAAGGATGGGGGGGGGGGGGTGAGAGCACATTTTTGTTTTGTGTCCCGGAAATTGAAAAATTATGCCGACGGATATTTCGTTCAGTAGGGGGGCGGGTGGTAAGGTCACTTTTTTTGTCACCCTTTAATTTTAAAAAAAATGAGGGGGGTATTCCTCCAAAACACACACATTAAAAAAATGAGGGGGGTAACCCCGCTCCCCCCCCCCCCCCACCCCCGCCCCCCTGCGTAAGCGCCTGACACCAGTATAGAACCCCAAATCTACTACGGCGCAAAATATATCTTGGTGATTCCTTTTGGAGTTAGGAAGAAAAGAATGTGGTAACAGATTCTTACGTATCAAAGATGTTGAAGACCTGAGATGAGGGCTGGTGGATTGTGCAAATGATATTGTACCCAATGTCACACAGAGATCGTAGAGTGAGAATCAAGAAATAGGCCACACTTGAGTCTAGCCCAGTCGTTGGCTCGTCCAGTAGTAGCACTCGCCGTTCCGAAAACATCTAATAAAAAAGAATCATGGTAACCATCTTTTTTTTTGGTCCAAATTACCATCCACTATGGTAACCATGGTATCAAACAATGAAATTCATTGTTTTATAAACCTATGTTTATCATTGTTTGATACCATGGGTACCATGGTTACCATGGTGGATGGTGATTTGGAGAGAAAAAACATGGTTATCATATGGTTCTTTTTAATAAGGGATATAAACACGTGTAATAATGGCATGATGCTATCTCAATTGCTGTGTATTGGTCCTTTTAGTATGGAGATATTTCAAGCGTAAAGCCACCATTTTAAGAAAATCCGAAGAGTTAATGTAAATTATATGGCTTCCTCCATGTCCACAGAATGATGAACAAGAAAAGGGCCCGAATTCACAAAGGAGGTTTGTCGACAAACCGAGGTTTATATACGTCATATGACGCGTTTTGACGCGTTTTTTTACAAACCTGGTTTGTAAATAACAAAAGGAGGTTTGTCGAAACAGAAGGAGGTTTGTCGACAAACCTATTTTGTGAATGCGGGCCATAGTGTTTAAGCAACAATGTCAAACAAACAATTTATGCTTTCTGTATAATTATATGAACAAACGCGGAATCTTTCTCTCTCTCTCTCTCTCTTTCTTTTCAACAAGGTATCAAAAGTCAAAACATATCCATTTCAATACATGATGTATCCCCAAGAGTTACTGTAGCGAAATTCATCTTCTTCCAATTTACGAAAATATATTAAAAAAGAACATATTTGTTAAAATATTGCCCAGCATAACCAAAATAACAAACGATCATTTTTCTTCGTTTCAGCAATCCATGTACGACCAAAAAACGTTTGAAAAAAAATGGGATTACCTGGCTTGCCTGGATGGGTAAGCTCCATCTCCCTCTACCCCTCTCTCTCCCTCCCTCTCTCTCTCTCTCTCTCTCTCTCTCTCACACACACACACACACACACCCCCCCTCCCCCCACACACACACCCACACTTACACATACTTCTTCTGCTCCCTCTTTTCTTTTTCCTCTTCTTTTTCTCTCCATTTTTATTTATCCTGTTTTCAGGAACTTTTACGTACCTTGCAAGCTACGGAAACCCTCTTTCTTTCGCTTCCAGAAATGCGACTGTGGCCGACATCAATCAGTGAATCAGCACATTCTAGAAGGGAAAACTGTCCGCCACAACGTGTAAAATTTAACGGGAAAGTAGCAATGCGAAAAGTAAAGATCTGGTGAAGGTGGTAGACTTAAACAATACTTTGGCCCTGGTGACCAGTCCACCTTACCTTGATAAACTCAACTAGCCTTCAACGAAAGTAATCGACCGGCCCTGAACCACCAAATCGAAGGCTTCACACGAAAAGTTTCTATTGCCAGTCCGAGCCCTTCACAAATATTTAAAAATATGACGAGATCCGGAAAATTTAAGATGCAATTTGGGTCACATTTTTCCATCCCCGACCAGGAATATAAAACCATTTAATCTACCGAAAATATCAGAATGCGACCCCTCTCGACAACGTTAATAGAAAAGCGACAAAACGTTACTTTGGAAATACATGCTATAGTGAAAATCACTGTTGGTCCTGGCCCGTTATTATATTTTTCCACTGGAAACACCCTAATTACATGAATATAAACTGATTAATAAGCTGTATGACGAACTTTTCAGAAACGCATCACCTGCGATAATATCACCCACAGTTTAATGATTAGTCATTGTTACTCAGATTATCTTTGGCTGACTAGCAGAAAACCTAAATGTGCTTTATTATAGTTAGACTAGCAAATGTTGAGTGTCATTCATCTCTTCACTATACCTTGCACAGAAGTTCATCCACCTTGTCTTCGATTTGTCGAGAGTTCAACTTGCCCAAAGTGAGAGTAGCCTAATGATAATAAAGTAATCATGAACAACAGAAGCCTGTATATACACTATTGCAGATATCATGCGAGCAAGCAAGAGAGCATAATATCGAACAGGCCTTTGCTAAATCTTAATGACAGACAGACAATAAGAGACGTAGTTACAGCTCAGTCTGACACATGTCTGACACGGCCGGTTGTAGCAACCACTCCAAAGATCAAGATTTAATTTAGGAACTTTGAATTTATCTTGACCGATATAAGGAGACACGAACGAGCGGAGCTCAATTGATGCTATTTGTAAGACCTGTGTTCCGTTGCACAAAACTTACCATTGGTGGCAAAGTTACCATCAACGGTAAGTTATTTGCAACGGGGCCTAATACTTCATAATTGTCTTTTGCTATTAGGGTAGGTGTAGGGAATTGGAGACCCTTAAGCACATTTGCATAATTTATATAAACATGAACATGTTACACATACGGAAAGTTTTGTATTCTCTTCAGTAACTTCTTCTCTTTATTTGGTAACAAAATTGTGGTAATGATGTAACTGATTAATAAGATAACAATGATTAATGACGTCATCACCAAAGGTCTGTCATTATCTGCATGTGTAGGTAATAATGGACAGTTACAAATCAAGACATTTTAAGTACAATCTGAATGAAAATGGGATTGTTATAGTTAGTTCAAACACTTTTTGAAAGAGATACATGTAGACAATGAACTTACTGTAATTTTGAAACGATTTTAAAACAATGTGGCCTACTTGGGATACTCCCAAAACCTGTTTTGTATACAAACAAAGGTTTACAGTCTGTACAGTATAAACCAGCTCGCTGATCTCACTTTTACATTTATATCGACCTCGTGAGTCTCCTCATTCTATAATACATCCCAAGTTGGCCACCCAATATTCAAATGTGCATCTTCCTTTTTTATCTTCATATATCAAATTGAAATCCAACTACATTGTATCACATACATCTGTGAATCTTGATGTACACCCCTCTTTCTTTTTTATTTTTTCTCTCTCTCTCTCTCTTTTCCCCTTTACCAATATTTGTTCCACCATATTCGTATTATTATGTATCCATTGAGGGTAGTCATGCTATCAAGCTTTGCTCACTTTGCCAACCCTCCTGTTTGATGTTTTCGATTAGTTACTTTGTTCGAATTATATTCTTTTGAAATGTGTAAAATTTTCAATGTTTTGTTTGTTATATATTTGTAAAAATGCAAAAGAAAAAAAAAATCAAACAGAAATAAATAAATCAAATGTGGCCCAAAATATTTCTGTACATGGACAACTAACCAACCAGCATCGGTTCATTGACTGTCCTCGGCATACTCGACATTCACAACAAACGACCCCCATCTTGGACCTGGTGTCCCCCATTTCCTGCACACATTTCTGATCAGACACCATTCATAATGTGCATTGCAACACCCATTCACAACACACAATGGCCATAAGATTTCTGTGATGGTTGGCACACTTTATAAACTTCCTTTTAAAACTACTTTTTAAGAGCCACCTCTAAATATCTGCATACACCACAATATTCAGTCAAAATTGTGTTTTTATATTAGAGCGAAATTTTACGATTAAAATTGCTTACCTTGGTCAATTTTGCCAATTTTCTCGAAAAAAGAACGCATTTTAGTCTTCGACATGAATTGGATATACGCAGTAGTGTTGTTAAAGGCCACAGATGGCTCTATAGCAATATTGAAGCCAACACGAACAGACAGTGTTGGGTTCAAGCTTGGTGGTCTCCTATTCCCTACACCTACCCTATGCTAAAATTATAATTTTCTTGGAGTTTCGGGATAAAAAATGTACGGTGAATGGGGGGGGGGGAGTCAGAATTAAGATGTTCCAAATGCAATGCTAAAGAGGCTTATCCCCCGATTAAAAGCATTTCAAGTTTATATCGGTTTTGAACATGAATGTTATTAAAATTGTATATAACAGGAATACAAGGGCCTAGGTAGGGCCAATATTAACAATTTTTCGTTTGCTGTAATTAAAACAAAATCGAGCAAAACTACTTGAATCAATAATTAATCTCATATCTTTTCAGAAAACATTTGCACTCGCCCTTTTAGTTTGTTATCGACAGTTTATGAAGTACAAGCCATGACGACAACCTATAGGCGTATTACATTAAATATGCAGTAGAAGAAGACAAATGAAATAAGATAAAGTGGAAACAAACCGAGAAGGTAAGATACTCTCGCACAGTCAGCGTCGACGGCAGTAAATCATTTTGCTGAACGTAGCCGATCAATTCTCCCACCGAGGCGTCAATTTTAGACATCGGTCCTCCATTCAACAGCACGTCACCACTCACGGCTAAATCACTAGTGCGTCGCCTCGAAAGAACGTTTAGCAGAGTCGTTTTACCCGCGCCACTGGGAAAGTGGTAACAGAATACTCAATATTCAGTAGTGTTCAAGTGAAATCAATTTATCATTGAAAGCATCGATTATATTTTGTCAGCTATCCTTTGATTAAAGGGGTGAAACTTGATGCCATTTTGATCGTATGTGCATGATATAAAATGTTAGCTACTCGATCCCGATTTTTGATTTCATATAATAATAGGTAAAATTACTCGAAGCTTAAAGCCAAAAGGGAGCATGTTCTACGGGAGGCTCCATTGAAGATGATGTTGTGTGTGTATTCAATAAACGTGTATCAACTAAATCATATGTGCACTGAAATAGCTTTGCATATATAATTTCGGCCCATTTGCTGTAACGAATATTACATCTATTAAAAGTTTCAGACGACTCTCTGTGAACATGATATTTTGTCATTACCACAAAATGAAGCTAATCATAAATGATACACAGACATAGAGAAGAGTGCTAGATAAGGGCAAGTTCAACATGTTGGATAGTATGATAACTTTACCTTGCACCCATGAGTGCCATCAACTTTCCAGGACGTGCTACTCCTGAAACTAAACAGAGGAAGAGATGGGATACAATGTACAAATAGAGACATGATGTTTTTCTTAAAAAAAGGATAATGAATAACAAAGCACGTTCAATAAGATTATAACTTTCACTATACAAGGAAATTTGAATTCAGTTTGTTATCCTTCAAAATGAAAGAAATCTGTTTTAATCCTCAAAAGGATTACCCAAAAAACATTACTTTATTCCAGTAAATATCCAGTGATACCAAAAATCTCATTCCTGAAGATATGACAGAAATTCGATTTGATTTGATTGATTTCTATATCATCTTGTCAAACAATGCGAATGAATGTGATATTAATACTGGTTTGTGTTCAATTCAGTATAAGGATAGGAAAGTAAGTTACATGCTTATTAATGCATAGTTAATATGAATTATATAACATGATATAGGATTGAGCCAAATGGTAAGCATGGGGAAAAACACTGCTAAGTTTCCAACTACAAATAGAATTGATGGTGCAGGTTCAATTAAGATAAATCTTTTTGCAGCTAAAAGTGTAATGGCTAGTCCTTAAATATCGAAATGAAATCGTCATTATACTAGTGCATGCTAAGAGGAAATAAATCAGGGGTATCGAGAAATTGAGGGTGGGGTTGGAGGGCGTTACCTCCTTTCAGTATCTGCTTTTCGTTTGTTTTTTGCTGTCCTCTGCAATGTTCTCCCCAGGACCGTTTCGGGTAGAACGTCACGTCAATGTTGTCCCATGCAAGAGAGAGCTGCTTGTTCGGGGGAATGGGCCGTAACGACTGCACCGAGAGATTTCGCATTGCCATATCAAAGGTCTGCTCTATAAAGTGGGATTTCAATGAGATAACTTTACGTTTTTATCTAGCTGCTTGCGATATGAACTTGTCAACCAAGTCAAACTATTTCACGCAATCGCAAAGAATTCCGGAAAGTTATCCTAAGTCAATGTCAAAGCACTGTCCATCGCTCTCTGAAATGTGCAGAAATAACCATGATGTATTTCAAATTCCAAACATGATTTCAAAAGATTATACAAATATATTGTCCTTTGATTCATTTTCAAAAGTCTTAGCGATAAGTGATAATTCCATCCAACCATGGAAACACATTACGTTTTTTTTGTTTAAGCACACTATTTATCACTTTAAATGGATCAATATACTTCCAGCCGACGATTTCCATTCCACACTTGTATCACAGCCTGACACGCAGAAAAAGACACCCCCATTCCCCCAGCTCACGACCCCAACCCATTTTCATTGAAAATAAGTGGATGTAGATAAATCCCTACCAGCAAGAGTATATTAAGCACTG